CCTGGTCAGGAAGGGGGTATAAGTGCCCGGTAGGAAAGTGGTTAAAAGGGCATACGGGTGAGGCGCCTTTTGCAGGCATCTTCGGCTGTTAAAGCACTAGGACATAAGATTCTGTATGTTTGAATAGATATAAGAGCCATTCTGGAAATGTGTCTTATGACATGTTCTAAGGCATCCACACAAAAAAAGCAGATCAGAAGGCAATTTCTGCAATTGCTCTGAAACAGAATTTGGAAATACAGGGTGATGTTGATTGTTTATTGTTCTAGTCCAGTTAGCTGCAGCTTGATATACTGAAGTTGCTGTGAGAGCTGGTTGCAGGTCTAATGTCTGCAAGATGAAAGAGCCTTTAGAAGAGTCTCAAATTTTCTGTCTGCAGAATCGTTGAAAGAAAGAACATCTTCAAAAGGTTACAGTGAGATGTTTGTTTAGGATAGGGATGGCAGGATCCAACTACAGGAATAACTCACTTCTAGGCAAACTTTTTTTCCATTGGATAAAGTTCAGCAAACATTTGGGGGGAGTGAAAATCCTTTCAAGGATGACATCTGTTCCTCCCTATCCTCTGTCACATATGAAGTCAGAGGCAATGGGAATTTCATCATTTCCAGTTTGGCATACCAGCCAGGAAAGCAGATTATCAAACCAGTCTCGGTTTAATCATCTACCTTGGAGGGCAAAGGCGGGATCAGAGATCGACCCTTGGTATCACAATAAAAAGAGTACTTGCCACTGCCCAAGGTATCACAGCGGTGGTGATAAACTTAAAGGAAAAAAATAAACAAGAATTAAAAAAAATTAAGTAAACCCCCCCGGGTTCACGGTCAAACGCACACGTAGACGTAGACCCCACTCACATAGTGATCACACCACACATGTGCACAATCGCCGCAAACTTTAGAGTTAAAAGTTAGTTCTGACACTAGAATTATTGCTCTCACTCTTAACTGGTAACCAGTGAAGGCTTTTAAGATTGTCCCCTATAGACAATTTTAGGTATTGTGGTTATTCACCATTTTTCACAGGCGTGCACAATTTTAAATCATGAGGTGTTTGGTATCTATTTATTCCACACAAAATCATCTTTTATATTTAACTGAAAAGTTGGGCATTATATTAAGTGTACTTTTTCCTGAATATTTGTGTTTGATAAACAGCTGCACAAATATTGTGCAACATAAAAAAATGCAAAAATCACAATTTTATTCTACAGGGCATCTGCTTTCAAAAAATATATGTTTGGGGGTTCTAAATAATTTTCTAGCAAAACAATGTAGATTGTATGATGCATGTGAAAATGTAAAAATTGCTTTGGGCAGCAAGTGGTTAAAGTAGATTTATGCTTATACAACAGGTGGACTGCCACTGGTGACCTCCTAAGAATGTTGTACAGAACGTCAGACATGAGCTGGAGACTTGTTCTCGGTAAATTAATATAATAAATATACTAAAGCCATTCCAGGCAGCTAGTATTTTATTAATTGGTCAATGAAAGTCATTCTCTAATTATACGGATTCTATAAAGCCCAACTCCAGGCAAACAGCTAACCACACAGTTGGAATACATATTTGCTAGCTGTCTTACGTGCCATATAATTTGTATTCATGTCCATCCAGTCCTATCTCAGAGCACAGCCAGTCTACTGACCTGATTTTACTCTTCTGTATCTAAAATGTATTTAAACCCTAACCGTGAACTGCTAGCTTTTGGTCTGTTTAATATACTATTGGAAGCATTTTGTTAAATCCATTTGCTGAGTGCCAATAAATTGTTGTTCTTGTCAGAAATTTAGAGCTGTCCCGTGTCCTCGGTCGTCCTAGTTATTATCTTGGACTACCGAATCGGCTTTAGAGATCTAAGAGTGGAAGTGGTTGAGCAAAAGACATTGGGCAGGGCTGACAACAATCAGTCCACAAAAATGCTGTGTGTTGCAGCCCACAACAAGGCTTAAAGCAGAGTTCCACTTTTGCAGTCAAATTTGAGAAAACTATACATTCGGTATTTGTTCCAGTTCATATAGCAGAACTAAAAATAGGAGCCTACCTTTCTAATTGTTTTGTTGGAACAGGTTAATACATAGAAGTGCAATCAGATTTGTAAAATTTCCAAGTGAAAGTGGAGAGCCAAACTGAGAGAAAGTGCACTAACATAGAATGCACCACCCAATCCTTAAAGTGATAGTAAACACCGCTTTGTGACTTGTACCTACAGGTAAGCTTATAATAAAGCTTACTTGTAGGTACAAGAAAGATCTCTTAAATAAGCACCATTTAAGAGATACGGACTACTTTTTCAGCCAGTGACGTCACTGGCAAGTATGCACTGTGCTACCACAGTACCATGTGATCCAGTGTTTGAAAAGTAGCCCATGCACTACGTTTGCTGCAATCCAGTGTGATTTCTGCCCATTCAAATGAATAGGCTGAAAATAGAATTGTGCTGAGTTGCATAAGGATTGTACAGGAATACAGACTGCATTTCTGTGCGATTCAGGTGTGAACTGGCCCTAAGGGCAGCTTCACACTGGCCGCTGCGCTTTTGCTAAAGCACAGCTAACCGCCAGTTTTCATTCAGGTTAGCTGCGCTTTTCCATAAACATCTATGAGATCTTTTGGTTTTGGTTTAGTTTCAAAAAGTTCACCAAAACTCTGGCATGCCACATCTTTGGTATTTCTTAAACTGCACCAAAACTGCGGGACCTCATGGACATCTATGGGAAAACGCAGCTAACCCACACAAAACCCAAAAGTTGCGCTTTGACCAAAGTGCAGCAGGACCACACCAGGGCAGGTACCTGCAGGTTCATTAAAGGGATAAAACATTGGGAAATTTTCATTTATTGTATTTTTTTTTATCTTGACAAACATTTGAAGCAATGCAGCTACGTTTGCTCCCCATCACCACAACAAAATACATGAAGCATTCCCACACGCCCCACCAGCAGCCTTTGGATGGACAGCAAAGGAGCAGGAGCAGAAGCAGACTGAAGAGGACAACATCAGCATGTTCCTTTTCATCATTCTGTTCATTATGTGAATGCAGCACACCAAAGTGGCTGCATTGCCCCACTTTCTCCAAGTCTGACTGCAGCTCTACAGACAATAGGATAAAATCAAGTTGAATTTGGTTATTTATACCAATTGCATCTGAAATACATAGATTATTTTTTTTTAACAAACATCTGAATTTGTATATATATATATATATATATATATATATATATATATATATATATACACACACTGTTGTGTTCAAAATAATAGCAGTGTGTTGAAAAAAAGTGAATAAAGCTCAAAATCATTCTAATAGCTTTTATTTCCATACACACAAATGCATTGGGAACACTACACATTCTATTCAAAATCAAAACATGAAGAAAAACATATCAAATTTGTGTTGTTCCTCTAAAAAAATTGAAGAAAAGTGATTAGACTGTTCAAAAAATAGCAGTGTTTGTATTCTTCTTTACAAACTCAAACATTCACTATATAAACTGAAAAATGTTTAAAGATTTTGCTTTCCTTTGAATCACTTAATATTTAGTTGTATAACCACTGTTTCTGAGAACTGCTGTACATCTGTGTTGCATGGAGTCAACCAACTTCTGGCACCTGTGAACAGGTATTCCAGCCCAGGATGATTGGACTACATTCCACAGTTCTTCTCTATTTCTTGGTTTTGCCTCAGAAACTGAATTTTTTATGTCACCCCACAAGTTTTCTATTAGACTAAGATCCGGGGATTGGGCTGGCCACTCCATAACGTCAATCTTGTTGGTCTGGAACCAAGATGTTGCACGTTTACTGGTGTGTTTGGGGTCGTTTGTCTTGTTGGAACACCCATTTCAAGGACATTTCCTCTTCAGCATAAGGCAGCATGACCTCTTCAAGTATTCTGATGTATTCAAACTGATCCATGATCCCTGGTATGCGATAAATAGGCCCAGCAGTGTAGTATGAGAAACATCCCCATATCATGATGCTTGCGCAACCATGCTTCACTGTCTTCACAGTGTACTGTGGCTTGAATTCAGTGTTTGGGGGTCGTCTGACAAACTCTCTCCGGACACTAGACCCAAAAAGAACAATCTTACTTTCATAAGTCCACAAAATGTTGTGCCATTTCTCTTTAGGCCAGTCAATGTGCTCTTTGGCAAACTGTAACCTCTTCAGCACGTCTTTTTTTCAACAGTGGGACTTTGTGGGGGCTTCTTGCAGATAGCTTGGCTTCTTCTAAATGTAAGAGTACTCACAGGTAACTTTAGACCTTCTTTGATCTTCCTGGAGCTGATTCTTGGCTGAGTCCTTGCCATTTTGGCTATTCTTCTATCCATTTGAATGGTAGTTTTTCGCTGTCTTTCAGGTTTTGGTTGCCATTTTAAAGCATTTGCGATCATTTTAGCTGAGCAGTCTATCATTTTCTGCACTTCTTTATATGTTTTCCCCATTCCAATCAACTTTTTAATCAAGGTACGCTGTTCTTCTGAACAATGTCTGGAACGACCCGTTTTCCTCAGAATTTCAGAGAGAAATGCACTGTAACCAGCATGTACAACATTTGCTGCCTTCCTTCCTAAAATAAGGGCAATAATTGGCACCTGTTTTTCAAAGAAAGAATGACCTCACTAATAGAACTCCACACTGCTATTATTTTGAACATGCCCCTGTCAATTAGTGATTCAATTACACAGAATCAGCAGCATGCATGTCATGACTGTTGGGTCTGTTGGATTTCTATTACTCTACTACACCTGCTAGTAAATTATTTGCCATGTAGAAATAGAATTTCTACCAAAAACAGTGATTGATCAGGTTAGTGATGTCTGACTGCTATTATTTTGAACACAACTGTAAAATATATATATATATATATATATATATATATATATATATATATAAACTTTTTTTACATTTATCAGATTTTCAGTTTTAACATAAAGCAAATTTTGTTTCATGACATAAGGCATTTTAAAAAGTCATCTAAAATCATGTGTACTTACCCAGGCGAGCACTGGAGGGGAGAGAATTGGAACCATGGGATACTCTGGGACGAGTTGTGTCACAATACTCGCTGGGGTGTTTGTGGCTCAGGTCTAAGCTTAAGCGACCATGGTGCTGTGCACTGCGAGTCATGAGAATTATGGTTAAAAATGAATCCTAAAGGTTATTATATGCACATACCCAAACTCAAATGGTTTCTTTCAATATGGCCTTGAATACATGTTGATAGGTTTATTTTTTAAATCAGAAAACCGTCAATAAACTGCTGTTTTTTAGGTTACCATTGACAATTTACTAAAAAACAAAATTAATCGGGTTCATGGAATTCATACAAACACCCCATTTTATAGAACGTAGCAGACCTGTCAGATAGGTCATGCAAGTCTCTCTTCAAAGAAACATGCTGAATGCCAATTGCCTAGAAGCCATGATGTTACTCTTACTTCAAAACACTTTCTGTCCCTGAAGCAGTATGCAGGCAGTAAACAGTCAAGTGAAATCAGAATTCCTGATTTCCATAACTAAAGTATTAAAGCGGTTTTGATTAGCCCAACAGCCAGGCAAGAATCATTTTAATGAAGGAAAGTTTGTAATGGCAGCCAGCACACCTTTTTTCAGCACAGGTAAAATCACACCAATAGTTGCACATAAAAAGAAACAATGGAGATTTATGAAACCTGGTGCAGTCAGAATCTTGTGCGGCTGTGCATGGTAACCAATCAGCTTCTAACATCAGCTTGTTCAATTAAGCTTTGACAATAAAATCTAGAAGCTGATTGGTTACTATGCACAGCCGCACCAGATTCTGTATGCACCAGTTTTAGTAAATATCATAAATGTTTTACCTCAACACAGCTAGAATTTGTTTCAGTACCTTAGTTGCACCCCTGGAGCCTCATGAATCTCCTCAGCTAACAGTCTTTTCCAGGCTGTAGGGCACAGGCAAACTTCCAATAAACATCCTACAGGGCTACTGTCTAAGAAACCTATTTCCATGCCTCAGCACTGTCACATGGGCAACATATGTAGGCTTACACAAATAACCAACTCAGAGTGATTTTTTGCCTGGACTGCTCAAAGTAGTGAATATGTACATGGAGCAAACCAATATTAAGACCAGCAGAGATTCTGAAAAAAGGGGGCACGCCCAGAAAAACACTGATCTAGGTTTTTCCAAAAATGACTGGGATTGTTGTAACCTGTTAGTAATAATATTAATATAGCCATATATACTTCATTAGGTCAGTGTACTTTGGAGTCTGCTCAATAACCAAATAAAGTAATTATTTGCATAGGCAATTCATGGGGATCCATGTGACCAGAAAACAGCAGTATATACTCAAGCCTCACTAAGGGGTCAATTCACTTAAGGTTAAACCGCATGTGACGTGACAGTCAGTGACCCATTTTTCAGAAATATTGCATGAGATAATATAAGAGTCAATACATCAAAGTGAAATATCAAATGTGAAGTAAATACCGCACATTTGTTAAAATAGTGAGATAAATACTGCAAAAAAATATGAGATAAATCATTAAAATCAATTCATTAAAAAATACACACATTCGTTATTTATCACCAGGTGTTTGCTGGCGGTATTTTAGAAATGTACTAAACAATTCGAGGAATTCTGCACTGGCCAAGAAGTGAAATGTATACATTGTATCAATGTGAAAATAAATACCACGAGTTATTTTAACTCAAAAATTCATGCGGTATTTATCTCTTAGTGAATTGACCCCTTAGTGTCCAATTTTATGTGCACATGTTTTGTTATCCTGCATTCAGCCACATGCTTACTTTGTCATACACAAAAGCACACACAGCCGCAGACAGCATTTCCCTCCTCACACCAGTAATCACAACAAAGCAAATGTATAGCTTAGAAGCTATGAAATAATACCTCTGATGTAGGTGCTGTGAGCAGACTTGGCCTGTGGAGGAAGGACAGTTATTAGATGGTACACGGTGGCTCCAGGCTGTGTAGATTGGGTTTCTACAAACTGCTGTAACTGCAGGACAAGGAGCCAGACTCCGAGGGACAGTACCTGAAATGAATTACAAATCTCAAGTCTTGGGCAATGAACACTTATTCAGCAATTTACTGTTCTGTTATAGTTATCAATTTTATAAAGTCAAATGAAAATGTGCACACTGTTCAACCTTTACTCACCTGACATACCAGATCCATACAAGGAAGTTGTAAAAATGTCACTATGGCGGGGGGAACGCACCCACTCATGAGCTATATCAGGAGACAGGCGATCCTCTGAATTGGGAGAGAACTTCTGAGTCTGATAAAAGGGACAATAAAAATGCAAACAAATAAAATGCCAGGCAGCCACAGTTAAGGATTGCATACATATGACCATGGTCATATAAATGATGGTTGCGCTAGCAGATCTAAATGGATAAATGTTACAATCTGAACATCAAATCTTTGATTTACCAAAACTATGTAATATGAGTAACTTCTTAAACTATCCAAATCGGGCAGGTTCATGCACTACACAGCTGTTGGTAGGTTGTACTTTTTATTTTTGCCGCCCAACTTTCCAAGCAAGCCTTAAGTTACGATTTTCTACTTTTCTAAAACCAGACTGCATTCTCAAAAAGTCATGTATTTCTGCAGATAAGCAGGTGAGCAAAAAATATGTGGAACCTACCCAGAGGGGTTTTTATGGTTATATGGCTGACTCTAATGCAGAGAAGTGACCTGTCTTTGACCATCTTCATTTTGGCCGTGTTACAAAAATTATTCAGTTGCAGGTTTTAGATTTATAGACCGCAAACTTGTGATTCAGCCAAAGTGGTAAAAATTGAGTTGAGGTAACACAGTAGTTTTAAATCATATTGCTGAGATATATATTAACCACTTCCTGTCCGGACACTTTTACCCCCTTCCTGTCCAAGCCAATTTTCAGCTTTCGGCGCTCTCACATTGTGAATGACAATTACTCAGGCATACAACACTGTATCTAAATGAAATTATTATCATTTTTTTCAAACAAATAGAGCTTTAATTTGGTGGTATTTAATCATCACTGGGGTTTTTATTTTTTGCTAGAAAATGAAAAAAGACTGAAAATTTTGAAAAAAAAAACATGTTTTTCTTAGTATTTGATACTAAATTTTGCAAATAAATATACTTTCTTCATAAATTTAGGCCAAAATCCATTGTGCTACATTTTGTTGGTAGACATAACCCAAATCAGTGTGTATTATTTAGTCTTTGTGAAAGTTAGAGTCCACAGACCACGGTATATATATTTGATATATTTGAAAATGTATCAATCCTGATGCACGGACTACCTATATAATTTCTTGGGGCCCTAAAATGCCAGGACAGTACAATTACCCCCCAAACGACCCCTTTTAGGAAAGTAGACAGTCTGAGGTATTTAATGAGAGGCATGGGGAGTTTTTTGAAGTTGTCATTTTTTGCCAATTTTTTAAGGAAATGATGAAAGTAAAAAAAAATTCTTTTTTTTTTTCCCCACAAAGTTGTCATTTAACAAGTTCTTTCTCTCTCACACGGCATAGGCATACTTGCAATTACACCCCAAAACACATTCTGCTACTCATCCTGAGTATGGCGATACCACATGTGTAAAACTTTTTCACAGCCTAACCACATAGAAGGGCCCCACATCCAATAAGCACCCTTAGGCGTTCTAGGGGCAAAAATTACACATCTAATTTCTTGACTGTCTATCACAGTTTTGGAGGTCCTGGAGCACCAGGACAATTGAATTACCCACAAAATGACCCCATTTTCGAAAGAAAACACCTCAAGGTATGTTTTAAGAGGCATGGGGAGTCCTCTGAAGACTTCATTTTTTGCCACGTTTTTGGAAAATGTGAAAAGAAAATGAAAATGTATTTTTTTTTTTTTACGCAAAGTTGTCAATCTATGAGATATTTCTATTACACAGCATAGGCATACTTAAAATGATACCTCAAAACGCATTCTTTAACTCCTGCTGAATATGGCGATACCAAATGTGTGAGACTTTTTCACAGTCTGGCCACATAGAGGGGTTCCACATCCAATAAGCACCTGTTAGCGTTCTAAGGGCAAAAATTACACATCTAATTTCTTGACTACCTATTGCCGTTTTGGAGGTCCTGGAGCATCAGGGCAATGGAATTATCCACAAAATGACCCCATTTTGGAAAGCAAACACCCCAAGGTATGTTTTAAGTTCTCCGTCACGCTCATCTGTCATACTCAGAATTTGAAATGCCTCCTCGCTTGTATATGATCTTTTGGCCATATTTTTGACACTGATCAGGACCCACTGGTATGGCAGTGATCAGGATGGTGTTGCAGTGAGGGACAGATATCTGGCTGCAGTTGGTTCACACTAGTCACTGTTGGGCAAAAATCAGAGATACAGTGAGATGGCTGGCAATGTTTTGTGAGTGTGTGTAAACTCTGTGCAAAGGCTGAAAATTACTCACAGTTAGCTGTACTGGATCTCTCTCCTCACAGACGATGGCAGTGAACAGGATCCACTGGTGTGGCAGAGATCAGGGACACTTTATGAACAGGCACACTGTAAGGTGATCAGGGACACTGATTGGGCCACTGTATGGTGATCAGGGACACTGCTGGGCCACTGCGGTGATCAGGGACACTGCTGGGCCACTTGTGTGGCGATCAGGGACACTGTGGCAATCAGGGACACTGTGGCGATCAGGGACACTGCTGGACCACTTGTGCGGCGACCATGGACACTGCTGGGCCACTGCGATGATCAGGACACTGCTGGGCCACTTGTGTGGCGATCAGAAACACTGCTGGGCAACTGCGGTGATCAGGGACACTGCGGTGATCAGGGGCACTGCTGGACCACTTGTCCGGCAATCAGGGACACTGCTGGCCACTTGTGTGGTGATCAGGGACACTGCTGGGCCACTTGTGTGGTGATCTGGGCCACTGCTGGGCCACTTGTGTGGTGATCTGGGCCACTGCGGCAATCAGGGACACTGCGGTGATCAGGGACACTGCTGGACCACTTATGCAGCAATCGGGGACACTGCGGTGATCAGGGACACTGCTGGGACACTGCGGCGATCAGGGACACTGCTGGACCACTTCTGCGGCGATCAGGGACACTGCTGGGCCACTGCGATGATCAGGACACTGCTGGGCCACTTGTGTGGCAATCAGAAACACTGCTGGACTACTGCGGTGATCAGGGACACTTCGGTGATCAGGGGCACTGCTGGACCACTTATCCGGCGATCAGGGACACTGCTGGGCCACTTGTGTGGTGATTAGGAACACTGCTGGGCCAATGTGGGGATCAGGGACACTGCTGGGCCAATTGTGTGGTGATCAGGAACACTGCTGGGCCAATGCGGTGATCAGGGACACTGCTGGGCCACTTGTGTGGTGATCAGGAACACTGCTGGGCCAATGCGGTGATCAGGGACACTGCTGGGCCACTTGTGTGGTGGTCAGGGACACTGCTGGGCCACTGCGGCGATCAGGGACACTGCTGGACCACTTGTGCGGCAATCAGGGAACACTGCGGTGATCAGGGACACTGCTGGACCACTTGTGCGGCAATCGGGGACAATGCTGGGTTACTTGTGCGGCGATCAGGGACACTGCTGGGCCACTTGTGTGGCGATCAGGGACACTGCTGGGCCACTGCGGCAATCAGGGACACTGCGGCAATCAGGGACACTGCTGGACCACTTGTGCGGCAATCAGGGACACTGTGGCGATCAGGAACACTGCTGGACCACTTGTGCGGCAATCAGGGACACTGCGGCGATCAGGGACACTGCTGGGCCACTGCGGCGATCAGGGACACTGCTGGACCACTTGTGCGGCAATCAGGGACACTGCGGTGATCAGGGACACTGCTGGGCCACTGCGGCAATCAGGGACACTTCTGGGCCACTTGTGTGGCAATCAGGGACATTGCTTGGCCACTGCGGCGATACTGCTGGGCCACTTGTGTGACGATCAGGGACACTGCTTGGCCACTGCGGCGATCAGGGACACTGTGACGATCAGGAACACTGCTGGGACCACTACTATGTGGTGATCAGGGACACTGACGATCAGGGACACTGCTGGGCCACTTGGGCGATCAGGGCCACTTGGGGCAATCAGGGCCACTTGGGGCAATCAGGGACACTTGTGGGGGCAATCAGGGACACTTGTGGGGGCAATCAGGGACACTTGTGGGGGCAATCAGGGACACTTGTGGGGGAAATCAGGGCCACTTGTGGGGGCAATCAGGGACACTTGTGGGGGCGATCAGGGCCACTTGTGGGGGCGATCAGGGCCACTTGTTGGGGCGATCAGGGCCACTTATTGGGGTGATCAGGGCCACTTATTGGGGCAATCGGGGCCACTTTAGGGGCAATCGGGGACACTTTAGGGGCGATCAGGGACACTTTAGGGGCGATCAGGTGTCACTGAGGTGGAGGGCAGTTAGCTACAGCCCTTTTCTTCGCTGTTTCTCCTCTCACAGACAACTCCGTGAGAGGAGAAGGAGGCGGAAGCCGCACCATGCGGCTTTTGTTTACACTTAAGCTGTGTCCTTATTGGACACAGCTGATCACATGGTATGGGACCGATTTCATTGGTCCCATACCATGTCACGTAATCCACCGTGTCCGTCGGACTCGGCGATCATCGGGCTCGCGGGTGCGCGCTCTAGGAGCCGCGCACGAGCCTCAGATGCAAGGTGCCGTTTAGAGACGGCAACCCGCTCCTGTAGGTGTCCCGTCCTGCCGTTTATAAACAGCGGCCGGACGGGAAGTGGTTAAATCAGTTGCTGTGTTAATGCCCAACTCATTTTATTTAATGTCTGATAGAGCAGGGAAGGTTTTGAGCCTTATCAGGCTTTTTTTTTTTTTTCTTAAAGTTTGACCATTTTGATAGATTTTGAATTATTTCTCATCAGTACAGAAAGAAACGAATGTGTTAGTTTTTGTGATGTCAATGTCTGTGCATTCCTGTTCCAGTGATGCCCATAAACCCCATCTCTTGTATGCACAAGGATGGGAAATGAAAAGCTTTACAATGGAGTTACAGAGAGAAATAAAAATCTGAAAATGCTTTCTCTATGTTATTCAAAACTAAAAAAAAAAAAATAATAAAAAGTGCCTTGAGTTGCTATTTGGTCATGATTTTTTAAAACTCAACACTCCATATAAAGATCAAGCTAGCTAGGGAATTGTAGCAATGAAGAAAATACAAGTCCAGTTTAGTGGCCGAGAATACTCACTACACGTTTGCAAAGGTGAACTTATCCTTTGTGCCAGTATGTTCCACCCATTTTTAGGGTGAAACGTAACATGTTCCTGTTCCTGCAGCTCTCCTCCCAATCCCCCATCCTCCCTATGACAGTGGGCCATGGACTTTCTCCCTAAATCCACTGTCACAATTTGAAAAAAAGAGTGCAACTGTGTGGAACACCGCCCCCATGACTACATCATTCATTCACAGAGTTCTGTGAATGAATGCCTACAAAGACTGTCATCCTTTGTGGCTGATGGTTTGTAGTTCTCAATTAACTGCGAGGATGCTGTTGAGTGCTCTCAGTCCATTAAGCTTCCTGGATTGAAATAATTGTCTACCCGTATCAGAGGTAAGGGCAGACAGCTACACATACCTGCCAAAAATGTGCATTAATTATCCTTTAAAACACAAAGCAGGTAAACTTACATGCTGATTATGTAACACAGAAATAAAGTTGGCAGATAAAAATACACAGATTAGAACAGAATAATCACCTGCAATGCATGATGAGGAATGGATACAGGAGCTAGGCGATGCTTTAGTGCTGGAGCAGACAGTGGTCTTGGCCTTTTTACTTCTGGTTCCTCTGCTCTTTGTAAACAGCTTTCTACTTCCCCACCACCTCTGCATCCTGGCAAGGCACAGTCTGTCCCATCATCTCTGCAGCATTTCCCAACACCCCTACTATGCTGTATCTTGTGGGAGCCTTCCTGGCCAGAAGAGATAGAAGCAGGGGATGGGCTAGTAGGAGGTGAGCCAGCAGTTACTGTGGCAGAAGCAGAGCTAGACTGATGTCTATGTTTAAATTTAATAGAGTCACTTCGTTTTGGAGGAGTTGGGGGTGTTGGTGGCCTGTCCACCTTTGAAGGCTGGGGAGAGTGTACAATGATTGGACCAGAAGGCAAATAGGTGAGTTTTGGAGGAGTCTGAGGTCTCTTGAAGGTATCTGGATCAAATATGGATTTTTCTCTGCCTGGGTCTCTTGAAGACTGTGAACTCATTCTGAGAGTGTCCTGGGCTAACCATAACTTTAGGCCATGTACCACTGCTCCTCTTGCCTGTAGGTGCATCAACTATAACATCCGCAATAGCATCTGGGTACCCAAGCGGTCGTCCTTCTTCTTCTAACAAGTCATACCCACGACCAATAAAGACCTCCCCCAAGTGATCCCAAACTATGTTCTGAGTGGCTGTGACAGCTCAGCTGAAGGGCTCTGTCTGATCCACTGCAATCTCCCATCTCCTTTTTATGATCAATCATATCTGGGTGGAAGATGTCAGTTTGTGTTGAGCTGTTGTTCTTCAGGTTTCTCTTATTATGAGTGTGAATATTTGATGGTAGAACACGACATGATTCCTTAAGGTTTTCAAAGAGGTTTTGTCCACTCCACGATGTATTTGGTGGAAATACCTAAATTGTAAACAAAAAAAAAAACCCAACACACAATTTTATAATTTTATAGTAAACAAGAAACAATAACACATCTTCAGGTGACTTTGGGGACACTACATAAATTGACTACGATAAATTAAGTGTTAAAAAAATTGATCAATTTCACTGACTAGCAATGTACATTTTATGATATTCTTTATTGATATAGAACAGGATTTGTACTCCCTATAATATTCTTCTCTCATTGTTATCACACAAATACCTCTGGGGACGAATGTTCTGCTTATGAGGGTGGGTACTAAGAAAAGCAAAAACACTGCTCCGCATCTAGGGTCCAAGTCCAAATTGTTATACCTATTTTTTGGTCATTTTTATTTCCAGCAAATTTACCAGGCCTGGGGAAAGACTATTAGCTTCCTGTACTGTACTTGAAGATACCGAATTTACAGAAAAATTCCACTTATCTTAATCGTGCAGTACAGGAAATGAATTTAAGGACAGGCAAAAACTAAACAAAAGAACTGTATCAACAGGCCCAATACAACAGGGGTAAAAATTACCCAGGTACTGAGTGCTGCTGCAAGAACCTTGGAGGTCAAAAGCTGCATTAGAAGGTAGGCATGCACCTGATAGCTCAAAGTATGAACAGGTGGCAGCCTAACAGAGTTGGTCACCAGAGGCTTGATGCCCAAGATGCTCCAACAATTTGGTGGAGTGTACGCATAACAGTGCAGGAGGAGCTGTTTGTTTTTGATAGAGCTCTAGCGATCAAACACCTTATCCACCTACCAATGGTGGGTTTAAAGTGAGGTAACCTCTGTGAGGAGAAAGAACAAAGACTCAGTCTAAAAGAAGTAGCAGCTTTCAGGTGTGCTCTAATGGATCTGACAAAGTTCAGATCATGTAGCGAGACTTAAGATGCTTAGGAGCAAGTCACTAGAATGGCAGAACAATGTTGTCATAAAGATGGACCGCTGAAACCACCATTGGAAAGAAGGATGGCCTTGGGCATAACATGACCTAGTCGTTGTGAAGCATGGCGTAGGGGCTCTCTGCAGAAAAGAGCCACCAGTTCTGAGATGAGCCTGACGTTAAGGTTACCAGAAAAGGCTACCCTACTTGTAAGATTCTAAAGAATATCCCTGATGAGATAAGGAACTAAGTTCAGGTTCCATGGGCGCAAAGGGTGCTACAAAAGGGGGGGAGGGGCTTCGCAATGCAAGAAAAAGGTTAAATGAAAGGTTTCCTGTGTGGGAAGGTGAAATTAGAGGCCTTTTGAAGATAAGACGGAAACTTGCCTTATTAGGGTGGTAAGAGGTAAACTATGATCATACTTGTTTGTAGGAGGGCAAGATGTGGGATAGAGTAAACTGTGGGATTCAATAGGCTGCTCTCACTACAGGCAAAATAAGATTTTCAGGTATGCCTATAATCTTCCTGGATGTGGCATTTCCTGCGCTCGGCAAGGTAGCAAATGACAGCTTAAGAGACCCCTCTATCTTTTAAGACCTGGGTTTCTACAGTTATGCCAATAAAGATGAAGACTATGCAGCAGATTGGAATACAGGACCTCGAGAAAAGAGGCTGGAGTCCCCTGTAAAACGTCTGAGAATGTCCGTGTACCAGGTTTTTCTGGACCAGTTTGGTACCAGAAGAATCATGGTCTCCTCCTCTCACTCTTTTTAGTGGAGTAGGCGAGACATAATGCTCAGTAGAGGAAAAGAAGAAGTAGACTGAACTGAGACCAGTGAAAAACTAGAGTATCTGATGCCAGAGCAAGAGCATTGTGGATCCTGGGAACAAGGAAGGATACCTTGCTGTTTTATTTGGAGACCAGGATGCCCACATCTCCTATGTTTGGTGTAATAGATTGAAGAGAACATTTTCCCTGTTACAGATAGTGATGACTAGGATAATCCTCTGCCAATTGTCCACTTCTGGGATGTGGACTGGAGATGTCACTGGACAGTGAGTTTTTGTCCATGAGAGAAAATGGGTTTGTACCATTCAAGGCAGCCAAGCTCTTCATGCTCCTCTGTATGGTTGGTATAAGCCGCTGTGATGACAATGTTGGATAGCACTCTATTTTGGTGTCGCTTTAAAAAGGGATGGTCCAGTGCTGTATGTAGAGATTTCCTGACAGCTCTGAGCTCTAAGGTGTTGTTGGAGGAGTGTGGCCTCCTCCCTTGGCTATGTTCTTTAAACCATCTAAGATTGGGAGACTACTCCTCAGTCCGAGCAACCTTTCCCCCATTGTAAGAATCTTCCCACTGTCAGAGTTAAATTGGGATCCAACTGGACAAGAAATTTTGTGTGTAGGGAGAAAAAAGAAATGGGTAATTCCAGGGAAAGTGCTTTCTATCTATTCTGATAGAAGGGTTTAGTAACAGAATTTCTAATGCTAGGTAAAGGACTGTCTATAATGAGCAACCCTGTTACCCAGAGCTCTCATGGTGAACCTCATTGTTGGATTTGTTGAATATTGGCAGTTGAGAATTAGCTTAAGACAAGGTACTTAAAAGCTTTTTGAGATGTATCTGGAATTAGGTCTAGATATTGTAGGAAAATGAGAGGCTGTACAACAGATCTTGAAAACTGATCATCAATCCAAAGGCCTGAAGCAGCTGAATAGACTTATGGACATTTCCTGCAAGATGTGAAGGGGATGCTTCCTTCAGAAGAAGTCAGAAAGCATGGAAGAAGTTTTGTGAACACCCTGTTAGAAAGAATTTGCTGAGGGAGTTTAAGCCCAGGATAGGAAGGGTACCTCAGTCACGCTTTGGTACCATGAACAGGTTTTCGTAGAATTCTTTGGACCTGTGCTGTGAAGACACTAGCGACACAACTACATGGTACAAGGTGATGTATGGCCTTTTGCAAAACTGACAGTTTGTAGGTGATTTGACAGAAGGAGAAGGTAGAGTTTAGGACTTTGTAAGTCCTTGAAACAACCTATATGTCTGGGATGTCTGTAGTCCAGCAAGATGCACACTTCCACAGATGTCCCTCCACTCCTAAGAGTGAGGGCAGGAAGACGACTTGAGAGAAGGCTTGGTGGCCTTTTCGTTCCAGGCCGTGTGTAGGAATGAAGGGCTGAACTTAGATCTTAAAAACAAAGTCTGGGAGGAAGCTCCCTCTTCAATATACTGACACTGTGGGGGAGAGATCTTCTGCAGCTTTCAACAACACTGCCTCACCAGCCTCCTCATTCCCCTGTGATTACGCATAATATAGTACCAGCATTTCAGGATCTGACTCTAGTTGAGACACAGGAGTAAGAAAAGGTGGGCTTTTTTTTTTTCTCTAAACAAAAATGTCTGAATTAAAGCCCTAATTTGTCAAAGAAACCATGACAAAGATGCAGAAAATTCTTTAGTCAAATAGACTGTATATAGGGTGCCAGAAAGAGAGCTAGAATCTGATGCTGTAGCTGATGTTAAGATCAGTTTCTTCTCTGCTATAAGTGAGGGATCATCACTCTAAGGCCGAGTTGGCCTTCCGCAAAGCAAAATGTCCACCTGCTGTTTAGAGTTGGCTCCCTTTCACCTGGTCTTTGCCAGAGCTATAAGTGGGGGTGCTCCCCTTTAGGGTAATCATTGAGTACAGTGTGAGAGATAGGGTAAGAGTGTCCAGCAGGAGTATGCCGTAACTCAGTTATAGACTGTCCACAATAAATCCTTGTGGCAAAAGGGTGGCAGGAACCACCTGAGTAGCCTTAGGAGAGCTCGAGGCAGAAGTGGTGTTAAAGTATGTGACCAGTGGCATGATATAATACCTGGTAATCCACTGGAGAATTAGCTCTGAGTGGATACATTTTAGTACCAAGTTTGAAAATTTTACACTGTAAAGTGAATATATTCAAAATATAGTCCAACTGTACACAGTGAAAGTCAAATGCACAGGGTGGCCCTGTCCTCCCACACTCCCTGGACTGTGTAAAAAAGTCTAGGCATTGCCTGTCATGATGGGCATACCCCCAAGATATCTTCAGGGACTGGGTTTCATTGTGGACAATGGCCCTGGACCGCTAAAGCACCCTGCTGATAACTCAATGCGTTGTGTCACGGTGAGCCCCCATACGCACAATCCAGTACACGAAGCAACATTACATTCCAGCCCCACAGAGCAGGGTCCAGGTACGGTTCCCAACATTTTACAGAGGTTGTGTCAATCTGGATACAGGGTTTCTGTAGTCAGTGAAGTTGACTAAAGAATTATTTAGGAAAAAAAAATAAAGCAGTGAAGCTAGTTTCTTAGAGAGAGAGAAGAGGTCCATCACCTACAGACACTAGCACAGAGATACATGGAGCGGGGAAGATTTATAGGTGAGGCCCCCCAGGGTGGGAGGCATGTTTTCAAAAGCTTCCCAGTGTGCACACAAATAAGTGAAATGTCACTAATAAGTGTACAAAACCAACTGCAAACAAATACTGTAAAAAGTCCCAAAAACAACAACACATATGGTAGTGGTCCAACTTCACTCTCATGCAGTTATAGTGATGTGTAGGTGATCAACAGGTGATAATCCTCCAGTTGCCAGAATACCCCCTCACCTCCTTACATAGACCCCAAAGGGCCAGCTTGCTTTGGGGATCAACAGATCCTACAAGGACAGACTCCTCCCTGGCTTCCCCTCAATGGTGGTATACGTCTCCAGCCTCCAACCAGCTATCAGCAAGCATCCCTGTGCTGTGAAAACCCATACGACAACGCCGGCCGATTCTCAGGATCCTCCAGATCTGCTCCCTCCAGCCGACCCCTCACCAGCACTCTCCCTCCCAGCATGCACCGAGGCCAAGGGCGGAGCCACAGGGGATCAAGGGGAGCCACAGAGATCCCCTGTGGCTCCGCCCCTTGGCCTCAGTGCATGCTGGGAGGGAGAGTGCTGGTGAGTGTTGATCCCCAAAGCGAGCTGGCCCTTTGGGGTCTATGTAAGGAAGTGAGGGGGTATTCTGGCCACTGGAGGATTATCACCTGTTGATCACCTACACATCACTATAACTGCATGAGAGTGAAGTTGGACCACTACCATATGTGTTGTTGTTTTTGGGACTTTTTACAGTATTTGTTTGCAGTTGGTTTTGTACACTTATTAGTGGCATTTCACTTATTTGTGTGTACGGATGACACTTCACTATGTGCACTGCATATATTCCCAATGAGAGGGAATTCACAAGTTACACTTAATTTATCAACTTTCATATATTTATTTATATGTGGATCCCTCTGATGTGGATGTCAGGGGGATTAATCAATGTGCACTAATATTGCATTTATTTGTTTATTATTCACCATTTATTATTTAGTTTTGTGCTAGCGCTACACTGTGGGATTTATTGGTTCATACACTTATTGGGTATAAGGTTAGTGTGAGCAGCTTTAGGGTTAGGACTCCATTTAAATATCCTCTAAATATTTCCCAGTGTACAATCACCTGAAGATACAGAGCTATAACCCATGGTGTATGAATAAGTCGCCTGCGTCCTGTACTGTATGATTAAGATAGTAGAATTAGCCATCAGACCTGTAGATTTATTGGCAATGTACTTTTGCAAACCTTTTCCAAAACCAAACTGCCTGGCTGAACTTTCATTTCTATTATATGTGCACATATACTAGCCATATACCTGTAGATTCCTCTCAAAGAAGACCGAGGAATATCTGCTGTTGGCTGTTGCATTTAGACAGATGCAGCACCAATGGCTGTCTAAATACCCAGACAGTAACTGCATTGGACTGGATGCAGTCTCTTTTTATTCAACAATCCAACCCTACTCACCGACCCACATACGGGTGGTGTGTCAACAGGGTCATCCATTGCTTGAATTTCCATCAATTAAGAAGGAATTGGGCAAAACTTGAGACACGTATGGCTTAGCCTTACATATTAGGGTATATGGTGCAATTAATAAGTATTCAGACTTCCTTAACTTTTTTAATTTTGTTATGTTGTAGCCTGATACTATAGTTGATTAAATTAATTTTTCCCCAATCTACATTCAGTACCCTAAAATGACAAACTGAAAAAACAGAATTTTAGAAATGTTTGCAAATGTACGAAAAAGAAAAACTGAAATACCACAATGACAAAAAGTATTTAGACTCTTTGCAACAACACTTTTAGCTCAGATGCCTTCCATTTCTCTTCATTGCTGCTGAGATGTTTCTAGAACTGACTGGAGTCCACCTGTGGTAAATTAAAATGATTGTATACAATTTGGAAAGGCACACACCCCTCTATAAAAGGCCTCACAACTGACAATGCATACTGTATTAGAGCAAAACCCATGGGTCAAAGGGACTGTCTGCAGCGCTCAGAGACAGGATTATTGCAAGACACAGATCTGGTGAAAGCTACAAAGAAAAAAAAAATTCTGCTGCACTGAAGGTTCCCAAGAGAAGAAGCTTGGAACAACCAGGAATCTTCCAAGAGCTGCTTGTCTGGCCAAACTGAGCAATCGGGACGTAAGTGAGGTGAACAAGAACCTGATGGTCACTCTGACTGAGCTCCAGAGATGGGACAAAGTTCCAGAAAGGCAACCTTCACCACAGCGCTCCACTGATCTGGGTTTTATGGCAGATTGGCTAGACGGAAGCCTCTCCTCATGAAAGCCTGCTTGGAGTTTGCAAAAAGGGAATGTGAGGAACAAGATTCTCTCGTCTGAGGAACCAGAGGAAGGGGGGTTGGTGGAGGCTGAGGAGAACTTCCACTTCTGATTGCCTATGTTCCACCCTCCTCCCCAAAAACTCCATTTCACAAACAGGGTCAGGGAAGGAGGCCTTAAAACGGAACTTCCCCTTTTGGGTGGAGCTCCACTTTAATGTAACATCTGTAACAGGCTGAGATGTACTGTATTTTATAAAGTTTGTACTGTGCATGACATCTCTTTGTAGATCCGTGTAGTTAAAGTTCATGTCCAAGCAAAACTCAAGTTACTGTCAAACCTTCCTCTTCCTCTCTAAAGAATGTCCAATTTTTTTTTTCTTTTACCTTGTTCATGTTGCGAGAAACAGCCTTTATTGCAAACTATCAACAGGCTTGTCATTTTTTTGTGGGAAAAGTGCTGGGAGCGCAGCTTCTACTGACTTAGGCTCCTCATCTCCACTTATAGGAGCAATTTCTCTGCACAAAGTGTGTGGGCAGGCTCTCGGGAGTCAAGGAACCACTACTTTGCTGGGAAAGAAATTAATGTATGCATGTGGAGTGGGAAAAGGGAGTGGTTCGGACGGGTGAAGATTTTTAGTCCAGCAAGTAGAGCTGGTCGGGATTTCAGTACAGAAAAAGCAATATGTCAGCTCTAACAGGAAGTTAGCAGCATACTTCATTTAGAACAGATATTTAAATTTCTGGTACGAATTTTCCTGTGTTTTATCTCTTAGGGATCATTCACCCCAAATGTGCATGAAAACTAATGGGAAAACTGCACAGATTTTACTTGCAGAGACATAAAAGTTTCACATCAGTTCACCTCAGTTTTCATGCACATTGACATCAGTTTACATGCACATCTGTTATTCACAGACTGTCATCACCCCCTCATCAGTGATCCCCACATCAGAGACACCCCATCAGATTCCCCTCATCAGTTCCCCACTCAGAGAATCCTCATCAGAAAATGCTCATCAGGGACCCCCTCATCTGTCCCCCTCTCATCTGTCTCCTGCCATTAGTGTCCTCATCTCTCCCCCACCATCAGTGCCCCCTTATCTGTCCCCTGCCTTCAGTGTTCCCACACCCTCAGTGCCCCTCTCATCTGTCACATCAGAGCTTACTGAGCCAAAGAGGGCAAATTTCTGGTTCCGCCTAGTTGGTGCTACTGTGACTGAAGTTGCCTATTTATTTGCGGTGTCACAAGGTACAGCATCAAAAGTTAGGACTGCATATACAGTTCCTGGGAAAAGGTCATCCATAAAGCATAGGCACGGTCGACATGGTCAACTGACAGAAAGACAAAAAAAGGACATTGAGCTGGATTGTGACCCGGAATAAGCAAACAACTTCTGCAAAAGTGACTGAAGAGCTCAAGTCTGTCTTGAGTTCAAAACTCAGTCTTCTCCGGACCAACAGTTTGCCCTTTTTGAAGTGCAGTAAGCTTTGACATGAGCTCATATATCACCCGCCTTCAGTTTTATCCTCATTTGTCCTCTACAATCAGTGATGGTAGGTGACAGATGAGTGAACCGTCATCCACCATCATTGGCCCCCTCATCTGTCCCCCCACGATCAGTACACTAATTAATTATCTGTCCCCTGCTATCAATGTCCACTCATTATCAGTGCCCACCTCATCGGTTTCCCCCCGCCATCAGCGCCCCCCTCATCTGTCATGTCATCAGCTTCATCCTCAACTTTGCCCCCATTCGGTCCTCATCAATGCCCATTATTCTGTGCCCCTCATCGCATAACGTTATTCTGTTACCGATGTCTCTGCCCACATCTTTGTCCTCCCCCTTACATAATAGCATCTCAGCCCCATTTCTGTCCCCCTCTTCTCATAATAGCATCTCAGCCCCATTCCCCCCCCCCCTTCCCATAATGCCATCTCTGCCCCCCTCTTCACATATTAGCATCTCAACTACATCTCTGCTTCCCTTTTCACATAATAGCATCTCAACCACATCTCTGCTTCCCTTTTCACAGAATAGCATCTTAACTCCATCACTGCCCCCCTCTTCACATAATAGCATCTCAGCCCCCCTCTTCACATAATAGCATCTCAGCCCCATCTCTACCCCCTCTTCACAAAATAGCATCTCAGCCCCATCTCTGCCCCCCCTTGACATAATAGCATCTCAGCTCCATCTCTGTCCCTCTCATTAGATAATAGCATCTTCGCCCCCTCTCTGTCCCCCTTTTCACATAATGGCATCTCTGTCCCCATTGCTGTCCCCCTCTTCACATGCAGCATTTGTGTTTCCCGCCATTCTGTTCCTCGCTGACAGTACCCTTTCAAAATCAGACACCTACCTGAAAAGCACCATCCAAGCCAACATGAGGAGGAAAAGGCCGGCTGTATACTCAGAGCACCGCTCTGCATTCCCTCCCTCCTGTCACATGGGAGGCTTGCAGAGCGGTGTGATCCATTTTGCCAGCATTCCAGTGTGGAGCTGTGAGGGAAACTGCAGACATGTTGCATAATCCTACACAGCTTCACACTGGACTTCACACGTGTTTTGGTGTGAACGAGACACATAGGAAACCATTGATTCCTTGAGTCTTGTAGAGACCTAAGGTTTTCTGCTGCAGAAAACTACAGGTCTCCGCAGATGGTGTGAACGAGCCCTTAAAATATTTATGTATTGCAGAGATGTACTGGTTTCTTTCGCCATTTTTTCCTGACATACAGTTAAAAACAATAACTCCCCATTTCTTTGTGTATTTAAGAGAAACAACACCCCCCCCCCCCCCCCCCCATGGTTTCATGGATCACACTGCATGTATCGATTGTTTGTTGTCCAGAAACTTTTTAAAAGCAAGTGTTATCCAAAAAAAAGGATCTACTGCTACAGGCCCAAATATGTATGCTAATTACTACTAATTGACAGTACATCCAAAAACAAACACATAGCCATCTATTTTATTCAAGACCGGATTATGTGCATCAATTCATGCTCTCCTAAACTCTTAATAGCAGATATACTTGGTACACTATAATCAAAAGACTAAGGTTTTAAATAAAGTTTTCAAATACCTTTAAAAGAGAAAGACTAAGTGAATCTCGACAACTTCTCAGAAGAGCTTCACATTCAGTGATGGACTTGGTGTCTAGAGCTATGCCATTAATCTATTATACAGAAAAGGTTTTAGAATACAGTGAAAAAAGATAAGCCAGTTCATAAACAAGTGCAGGCTTACTGAATAAAAGCAAAGCAAAATGACAGTGAGAATTTCAAAATACAATAATCTATGGCAACAAATCAGAATTCAGTTTGCTGTAATCAAGTCTGCAAAGATGGCATGACCACATCTATAGAACACCTGATTTCCCCCTTATTAACATCTTTGGATCATTTTCAGGCTTTACCATAAACTGGAGTAAGTCTACCCTCCTACCGCTAGACCCTCTTCGGGATCCCTTAGCACCAGTTGCCTCCCAAATAAAAGGAGGTTGAATCATTTACAGTATATATTTAGGGATAACTATTCATAGACATATGTTGCAATAAGTTAGCTTAAATATATAACCCCACTGCTGGCTAAATTTAAACAGAAAACTACAAGCTGGTGCAAACTACCCCTTTCAGTAGTTTCAACCTTATAAAGATGATATGGGTGCCACAATTGCTTTACATTTTATATAATGCACCGCTGTGGCTTCCTATATCTATTTTTAAACGGTTGGAGATTGCGTTTCATATGTTATCATGGAAAAAGAGTAGCTCAAGGATTACATTATAAAAGTTAGGCGGGGCAGCGTGACGAACTCCTGAATTTACCTCTCACAGTCCGCCCTGGGGAAGACCAGAACGGCGCGGGAATCTGGGGGCACGGATGGAGAGGAACGCTATAAGGGCGGAGCAACTATGGGGGAAGTGGAATTGGAGATGAATTACTATGGGGATGAAATTACTATGGGGGATGAATTACTATGGGGGAAATGAGGGGGATGCAGGAGGAAAAGGAAAGGGGGGAGGTCCCCAAGTCTTTCCTATATTACTAAGCGGCACAGCTCCAGCACTTACCAGGTTAGGGGGGAAACGGGATTTGAGTACTGACCCCATTAGAAAAATAATATCAGGGCTATTGAGAGGTAAAGGGTTGGTGGATAGTTTAGAAGCTGGTGAATTTGAAACAGTTAGGCAATAATTACCTATGTTAGATAAGAGAGTATGGAATAAGATCAAGTCTTACTGCGAATATAAAGGCTATATTAATTGTCCTAGAATATTCCAATGTGAATTACCCCTGAATTATTCAAATTACAGGGATTTGATCAATGGCAAATACAGGGCATTGAGTATATTCCCAAGTTATATCACAGCCAGCTTCTGATATAGCTTGTATAGTATGAAAATCTTTCATACTATACAAGAGGAATTTGGCCTACCTACCAAATATTTCTTTCAATACTTGCAGCTTAGGCATGCAATTCAAACACAGTCTAAATTCACATAATGGGTCTATACCATAACTATAATTCTTAATCAGATTATAATTGCAATTGTTGCAGAAAACATCAAAGGCAATATCGCTGAGATGTAGAATGCAGTGGTAAATGGATATTGGTCATATAAATAATGAGGAATGGACTAATGTTCTTGATAATGTAGGACAAGTGTCCCTGTCTGAGTCACAGGAATGTACCCAGTTGTTTATTATACATTGTTCATAATTGAACTGCCCAAAAACAGTTTAGTTAGCATAGGAAAGATACTCTATGTCCACAATGTGAACATGAAGAGGGTACATTGATGCATATGATGTGGAGATTCCCTAAATTGGTCAGGTATTGGACCCTTGTTATGGATACGATTAATAGGGTATTTAGCATTAGTATCCTGAGGGATCACAAGGTATGTGTTTTGGGGGGGCTGGATAGAGAATGGTTTCCATCTCAGGTTTGCACAGCGATTATTCGCCTGTTTATAGCACAAAAACTTCTTGTGAGATGGATATCCAAAACCCCCCCCAACTCACTCCATGTGGGTTAATGCAGTAAACAAAACCGTACAAAACAAACATATGGTATACCAACATAGAAGCAACCCAGGCAAATTTATAAAAATATGGGACAAATGGTTGAATACTACAGAGGTAGTTCCTCTAAAATTAGTTAGAGAGAGATTACAAGGTATGGGATAATAAAACATTGTATATTAGTAATATCTGAATAAAGTGTAAAATTTAAATTTAGGTCAAAACTGTCAAAAAGGTTATAGGGGAAATGGGATGTCAATAGTATAATTAGAAGATTGAGGGAATGTTAACACTTCATGAATTTTGATATATAAATTTGTAATTTTGATTTGAGTATATATATATATTATTTTGTCTATAATGCATTAGGAGTGTATGCTAATTATTATGATGTGGACATTTTTGAAAAAAATACTTGTCCAGGAACCAAAAATCGGTGCCCCAATCTACTTGTCCCTCATTACAATCTACTTGTCCAGATTAAAAAAAAAAATTTTTTTTTTAACTAAAACTGTATTTAAAATCGGAGGCGATATTAGGAATTTCTGTGGCTTTTAAAAACAAAAAGGGGCTTTATGGTGACTTAAACATTTAACATTTTTAACACTGCACTGTATCTATCCTCCTCCCCTCCCTGCCTGTCTCCAGCACTGCACCCAGGGACTATCAGGGAGGGGAATGACCTTACAGTGTAATGAGCACTAATAGGGTGCTCCTCAGGAAAAGGTGGGTCAGGGCTTATCCTTTATCCCTTTCGCTCCCAGAGCCGTTTTTGCATTTTTTGCACAAGTCTTTTAAGATCATTATAGGCCTGAAGATTACACAAAACTCTCAAACGTTATATATTTTCAGAAAGCAAAAACCCTAGAATAAAAGTGGTAGTTCTAATTTTTTATGCTGCATGATATTACCGCAACATTTCAGTAAAAAAAATAAAAGTTAATTTTAGGGCACAAAAAAAAAGCAATAAATTACCCTATTTTTTTTGTAAAATATAAAAGATGAGGTTTCACCGAGTAAATGGATATCCAACTTGTCAAACCTTAAATTTGTGCGCACTGAAATGGCAAAGAACTTCAGTACCCTATATAATTTCTATAGGTCGGCACATTTAAAGCTCCTGATAGGTCATCAGTTTAGCGTTACAGAGGAGTTCTGCTGCTAGAATTATTGCTCTCAGTCTGGTGTGCGTGACGATATGTGACATGTGTATCGCAATCAACGTTTTAATTTATAGGCGCCCCAACGTGTGCTTTTACGTTTGTACGTGCGTATATGTGGGGGTGGGCTCAATTTTTTTTGGGGGGGGGAATGGTATGTTCTTGTAACTTTCATTTTCTACAATTACAAGAAAAAATTTTTTTCTTCATCACATAGGGGATGATTTGTATGGTGATGATTTTTTTGGTGACAGGTTATCTTATTGAGGCATCCAGGGTCTAAAAGACTCTGCATGTCTCCCCTGTGCTCCACTGAATGTAATGCAGTGCACATCGCACCACATTACATTCTTTCCCGGCTTCCATGGTCGGGAATCTCTCAAAGAGGACCCGGAAGTGATATCATAATGTTACTTCTGGGTTAGGACAAGGGGAGGGAAGGCTGCCACTGTGTGGAAGCAATCCACTTGACAGGTGAGCTCGCTGCTTGCTTGCAACAAGGCTAAAAGGTAGAAAAAAATAAACTACCTGCCCGAAGCCCGGAACTACATGTCCCAGGCGATAGGAATCGAACATCCCTTTGCCGGAGACAATTAACTAATTGTCCGTGGTTCTAAAAGTGTCTTATGTGTAATTGTGTTGTAAAAAAGAATGATGAAACATAATGTCTAATAAAGAGTAACAAAAAAACAAAAAAAAAAAAAAAGTCTGTAAAGATAGGATTTTAGATTAGCTGATATGGATTAATGCACTATGAACATCATGGGGGTTTGCAATGCTTTACTACAACATCACACCAACGGATAAACCACACACATGTACCAAAGAGTTGAACTGTCACAATCATATTATGTCACAGTTGACAAATCAGAACTTTATTTTTTCCCCAAAGTATGGCAAGCAACAAGTGCAAGAGCACACTTACAGCCACCACTCTGTCACCAGGCATAAGTGTTCCTTCCTTGGCAGCAGGACTCCCAGACATCACAGCTGCTACCAGCACACCAGTCTCCAAGGAGATACCGCTGTCTGTGGCAAGCAATATAGAAGGAAAAAAAAACATCATTAGAAAACCATAGCAGAACACCTATTCGACTCCTTTAGTGGCCAGTGTGGGCTTTTGTTTAGTCCAGAACTCTCTCTCTCCCAATACAAGTACAGTTGTGTCCAAAATTATTCAACCCCCACTGAAATTGAGTGTTTTGGCCAGTTTGACATTGCTTTTGATCATTCAGTCATCTTGCTTACATTTACATTAAAGAGGCACTTGTAGGTCAGACAAATATAACATAACAGTTATAATGAAATAACCACAAATGTCTTTTTGTGCTCACAGCATTATCAGTTTTATTCAACCCCCAAGTGACATTCAATCTTAGTACTTAGTACAGCATCCTTTTACAGTTATAACAGCTTTTAAACGTGAAGCATAGCTTGACACAAGTGTCTTGCAGCGATCTACGGGTATCTTCGCCCATTCTTCATGGGCAAAGGCCTCCAGTTCAGTCACATTCTTAGGCTTGCGCACTGCAACTGCTTTCTTTAAGTCCAGAGGTTCTCAATGATTTAAGTCTGGTGACTGCGATGGCCACTCCAAAATGTTCCAGCCTTTCCTCTGCAACCATGCTCTAGTGGACTTGGAGGTATGCTTGGGATCATTGTCCTGTTGAAAGGTCCAACGTCTCCCAAGCCTCAGGTGTGTGACGGACTGCATCACGTTTCCATCCAATATCTCCTGGTACTGAAGAGAATTCATGGTACCTTGCACACGCTGAAGCTTCCCTGTACCTGCAGAAGCAAAACAGCCCCAAAGCATGATTGACCCTCCACCATGCTTCACAGTAGGCAAGGTGTTCTTTTCATCATAGGCCTTGTTCTTCCTCCTCCAAACATAGCGTTGATCCATGGGCCCCAAACAGTTCTAATTTTGTTTCATCAGTCCACAGAACACTATCCCACAACTTTTGTGGTTTGTCCACATGGCTTTTGGCATACTGCAGTCGACTCTTCTTATTCTTTGGAGACAGCAAGGGGGTACGCCTGGGAGTTCTGGCACGGAGGCCTTCATTACGCAGTGTGCGTCTTATTGTCTGGGCTGAAACTTCTGTACCCACATCTGACAAATCTTTTCTCAGTTCCTCAGCAGTCACACGGGGACTTCTCTCCACTCTACGCTTCAGGTAGCGCACAGCAGTCGAAGTCAGCATCTTCTTTCTGCCACGACCAGGTAGCGTTTCAACAGTGCCCTTTGCCTTGAATTTGCGAATGATGCTTCCTAAGGTGTCTCTTGGTATGTTTAACATCTTTGCAATCTTCTTATAGCCATTGCCCTTCCTGTGAAGAGAAATCACCTCTTCTCTTGTCTTCCTGGACCATTCTTGCCTTCACCATGTTTGTAACCACACCAGTAAATGTCTAGAAGGAGCTGAGTATCACAGTCATTTTAAAGCTGCCTAATTGGTGCTTATTATGCTTGATTGCTGCTCGGTGACATCCACAGGTGTTTTCAATACCTGATGGAAAGCACCTGTATGAACCTCTGTTCTTCAGAGTGGTAGTCTTTAAGGGGTTGAATAATTGTGGCAATGAAGAAACCACATAAGAACCATTTACTACTGTATTACATAAACAATTGATGTCATTTTAGTTGCATTTGGGTAGTTACAACGTCCTTGTAGGATTTGATTCTGAATACAATTCCAAATGTACACTATAGTCCCTAAACCCCTTTACAGCATTGGGGGTTGAATAATTTTGGACACAACTGTACATGGGCATGGAAAAGCAGGATCAAACACAGGTCAACACACAGCACCTGTGATGAATTCTGAATGGCCACAGAAGCTTCTCAAATTGTCAAATGTCAAACGTATGCTGCATTTTCCCATTGAAGCCTGTTGACACTTAAAATAAAGAACTTGTTCAATGCATGTAACTGGAAAAGCCCTTTACTTATTGTACCTAAAAAAAAAAAAAAAGAAAGAAAAAAAGTCACCTTTTTGGCCACCCAAGCTGATATGAAGAGGACTGACAATTCGATTGCCAAGGGACTTTCTTCTACGAATTACCATGTTAATGACATCCCCTCCACTTAATACAGCTTTAATTAGCTGCTTACGATCCTTGTTTGTGAGATCCACATCATTTATCTTCAAGAGGCAATCATTCACCCTGAAATTTGAACCGTCGTGTTTATTATGCAACATTTTACACAGTGTTGGTCAGACATACATATGATCCCCCAAAAATCACCCAAACTGCATCAAATAGTGGGTGTGGTCAATTTCACTTACAGTGGGAGGGTCTAAGAGAGGCGTTAAATACTAGGAGTGTATCACATTGGGAGGGAAGGTGGGTCACAGAGTGCAGAGTTCAGAGGTACGCTGTATACAGAGTGCAGAGTTCAGCCTTCTTCCACAGCTGCTTACCTCTGCGTCCCCCATCCACATCTCACTTTCACCCTTCTCCAGCTCTGACCTCTTCATGGAACACTCTTCCACTACTCTCTTCTTCCCCCCCCCCCTTTCACTTGTCTTATTTTTGTTGCTATAATAATCTGTGCAGGGAGGCACTAGAGTCAGCTGGCTGCTGCAGTTTAGGTGGCTATGCCTCTCTCACTTGCAGGGAGATCACCCAGTGGGTGTATCGGAATCCGTACTGCACCCCGAGCACCTGCATCTCTATTGTCCCCATCCTGCACTCGGTGGGAGACGCTCAGGTGATCAGATCTGTGGGAGCTGTTGGAGACAAGCTGTCACTTGTAAAAACAGAAGCCGGACTTCTGTGTTTACAAGTGACAGTGGTGGCAAGGGAGCACAGGGCCTGAACCAGAGGTGGTGGAACTCCCAAGTGAAATAAAAGCCATATAATTATGTCTGTGTCTATATACATTATTACATAAGGATTTGAGTGACTGGCAAGGGCCAAATTTTAATAGCTAGATGACTGGGTCAGAGCAACTCCAAAATTGCAACTCTTGTGGGATGTTCTCAGTTTACAGCTGTCCAAGGAAGGAAAATCAGTGAACCAGCATCAGGGTCATGGGCAGTCAAGGCTCACTGATGCACATGGGGAGTGAAGGCTGGCCTGTGTAGCCCGATCCAATAACATAGCTACTGTAGCTCTGATTGCTGAAAAAGTTCATTCTGGTTGCAATAGAAAGTGTCAGAACATACAGTGCATTACGGTTTGTTGAATATGGGACTGCGTAGCTGAAGATCAGTGTGCCCATGCTGACCAGTGTTCACAGTCAAAAGTGTCTACAATGGCCACATGAAAATCAGAACTGAACCACAGAGCAATGGCAGAAGGTGGCCTGGTCTAATGAATCCAAGAATTGTTTGGGGAACACAGAGAATGAGGAGTTGATTTGACCTCTAAATTCTCCAGATCTCAATCCAATTGAACAGTCTGATCCATTGAAACCTCAACCCGCAACTTACAGGACTTAAAGTGGTTGTGAACTTTGACATGGAATATTAACAAAAAGTATCCTTCTATAATGTGTACTTGTCTCAATTAAGAGCACTAAGTGTCATTTCCGTCTGCTGCTTAGTTCCTCTGCTATCAGCATTAATCACATCTGGCAAGTTTTCCTGACATCAAGAGAAAACAGGTGACAGTGAAAGGACCTCAAGCACACAGCCTGTAATGGACAGCATCAGATCTGTTCATGTGAGCTGTGGAAAGGGGGGTGTGTCCCTTTCCTCCATTTATCTCTCAGGTCTCCTTACTAAGCTCTGCAGTGTGTAATTTCAACCCCCTGCCCCGTCTTCTGAAACCCCAGACAAACTTTAGAAATTGTGGACATTGAACAGATGTAGAGAAAAGAATACTACCGATATACAGGTACAACTTATGTAGGAGGATTTTTTTTTCATCTCTAAGTATCACGAGGCCAGTCCCTTCACTGGGTATATGTAAGGGTTCACAACTACTTTAAAAGGATCTGCTACTGATGTCATCGTGCCAGATACCATGGCATGCATTCAGAGGTCTAGTGGAGTCCATGCCTTGATGGGTTATGGTGGACATAATGTTATGGCTGATCAATGTACAGTATATTTCCTAATAATATAGTAGCAAATCAAGAGCAGGAAGACTATTTATTATAAGAGCAAGTTAGAAAACCCTTCAAGAAAAGCAGACAGAGGGAGGAAAGGGGAGGGGGCAAAAGAGTGAACGAGTGTAAGGGACAGAGAGACAAGGGTGAGCAAGGAGAGAATTAGGAAGAAAGCAAGAAAAGGGAGACAACACTACCAATGTACTAAAAGTCATCAACAGTTAATTATTAAAAATGTTCCTTTCTTAAACTAGTCTAACAAAACAAAATACCCACAAACAATATTTTACTTGAAAAAGTATGTACCTTAAGCGTCCATCAGCAATGCTGCCCTTGTCAACCTTTGTCACAAAAATGCCGCTGTCCCCTGGAAAGAAGGGTTCGTTTACTCCATCTGCCACATCAAATCCCAGAGCCTTAAGGTCCATATCCTCCTGTAAACAAAGCAGTGTCAGCAACAATTCTATTTACAATGTTTATTACAGATGTCATCTGTTCAGAGTTGGACTAATGTTATTGTAGTGTAAAAGGGACTGTACAGTGTATGTTCAGTAAGCATGTACTTTCAATTTATGAATATAGAAGTGCAGCGCTAAAATCACAAATATATAAAGTGAAACAGTAAAGTGCAGCATATAGGAATAAATGAATAGCCTTGTGTATGTAAAGTTCAAGATAGCAAACAAAGTCTGCAAGCAAAAAGTGCTAGTCTGTGCCATAAAGTGCAATAAAGTGAATAATAATGTCCATGACTGCATATATCAAAATGATAAATATTATTCATCCAGCGTATTTCATTCATAAAAACGTCCTTAAGTAGATTATGTGCAAAATCGCCAAGTGCAGAGTGTGAATATTCACATATGAAATCTACCACCTTGGACGGATGTACACTCACCAGAAGATATACAATATACTGTATGACGTATATCATATCATGTCACATCTGGAGGTGCATCGGCAGCCGATGGGTTAATCCTGCTGTATCATCCAGGTGTAGATGGAAGGGGATTCCCTTGTCCTGTCTTATTGTTTCTCAACCTCTCTCTTATTCTTGATGTTCTCATTCACAGGACATGTCATTTTTTTCTATTTGCTATTTATGTATTTCTATATGCTGCACTTTACTGTTCCACTTTATATATTTATGTGATTTTAGCGCTGTACTTCTATATTCATATTTTTGTTGGGATTGATGCCTATACCTTAAGCGCTAGCTGCTCTTATATGCTTATTAGCGTTCGCCTGTATATTTTGATTATATGTATTTTCAATTATTATCATCATATAATTATACTGCCATTTATGTTAAATTATGTTTTTACATAGGACTTTACATTTTATTTACTCCTCTTTTCATATTTTTTTTACTGCTCTGGAAAAAAAAAAAATTAGTAGATTAGACACTAAAGGATGCTCTGAATGGTTCAGAGTTATCACTCTACCACATAACTATTGTGATAAGACAGCCACACGGTGTATATGCCTAAGCCGACTTATTGACTTGCATTGTAAGAAGCGACAGTAAAGCACAGTCATTGAGTAGCACCACAAAGCGAAGACTGCATAGTTGGCACAAAAATGTGTGATGTGAATGGTGTTACAAAAAAGTATGGGCACATATATTGCACAGTTATTAAAGCTATGCAATCTGAGTTACATACAGTGCTCAGCATAAAAGATTAATAAATATCTCAATGAACACAATAGCAATTTCCAAAATTTTGACAAAACTGAGTTTTACAGAACATTTGTTTAGCTCATTACATGAAAGTAAGGTTAATAATATAACTTAGATTACAGAATCTTCAGTTTTACTCAAATTAGTTAATGCAAAAATAAATATACCCACAACAACAAAAACTACTACATCTAGTATTTTGTATGACCTCCATGATTTGTAAGGACAGCACCAAGTTTTCTAGGCATGGAATGGACAATATGGCAACATATTGCAACATCTATCTTTTTCCATTCTTCAAGAACAACTTCTTTTAGAGCCTGGATGCTGGGTGGAGAGTGATGCCCAACTTGTTTCGTCATAATTCCCCATAGGTGTTCGGTTGGGTTCAGATCAAAAGACATATTTGGCCACTAAATCACTTTTACTCTGTTCTTCTTTAGAAATGCAACAGTGGCCTTAGATGTGTGTTTTGGATGATTGTCATGCTGGAAAAGTGCACAACGACCAAGGGCATGGAGTGATGGTAGCATCTTCTCTTTCAGTAGCAGTACATTTGTGAATTCATGATACCATCAATGAAATGCAGCTCCCTGGCACCAGCAGCATTCATGCAGCCCCACAGAGAGACACTGCCACCACCATGTTTCACTGTAGGCACCATGCATTTTTCTTTGTACTCCTCACATTTGAAACATCACACAGTTTTGAAGCCATCAGTTCCAAAAACATTTATCTTGGTCTCATCACTCCAGAGTACAAAATGTTGGCTCTGGCAAATTCTAGGCAGGCTTTTTTGTGCATGGGCTTTAGGAGAGGCATCCTTTGCATGGCAATCTTCTTCAACCCTTCTCATCAGAAGACGCTCCTGTCGAGGTGTAAAGTTCCGTGGATTTCTTGGCAGTCTCTGTGAGATGGTTGCAGTTCCAAATTTGTTACATTTTTGTATCAATTTTGCTACAGTATACTGACTGATAAGTAAAGCTTTGCTGATCTTCTGGTAGCCTTCACCTTTCTTGTGTAAAGAAATTATTTTCCTTCTCAAGCCTTGTGACATTTCTCTTCTATCTGGTATTGTTGCTAACAGCATGAAATGGGAAGGGGTTTGCTTTGTTAGGCAACTCCCTTTTATAATCGACTGCCTGCTGGACACCAGTTTAATGAATAAACTTACCTGTAGTTGAATTCTTGTTAATTATGATTTTGTTGTCTAAAATTTAGCTTTGCTCCTAAGACTCATTGAGGTGTATTAATTTTTGCAACATGGTCTTGAACAAAATTTGTTTGAAAAAATACTTTGTGTGGGCAAATTAACAAGTCTGGTTTGCAATCAATGGCCCGCATTTGTGGAAATATTTTTAGTCCAATAGAACATGTTGATTCGGAAAGGAAAGTAAAGGTTTTCTGACAAATCTCTTGGGTAGTATTTGTCTATGCTGAGCACTGTATATACCGCTCAACGTTGCCACACAGAAGTCTCCCTTGTTTAATTGCTTTCTACTTACCCTATCTCGCTCAAACTCTACCACTTCTGTCTCCCACTCCAGTGAGTCTGTGTCAATTGCAGAATCATGAGAGCTATGAGCCATAAGCTGGCGGAATCTGGCTTCTTTCTCAATGTGATTATCCATCTTTTCTCTTTAAGAGATAAGAATACGCGATTAATAGTGAATACATCCATAAAAACAAAATGTCTGTATATGTGCCACAAACTGTTCAGAAATATCTGGTTTTATTTAAAGTAGAACTATAGGTAAAAACTCCCCCCCCCCCCCCCCCCCATTTTGGAGGGGGGTTATAAACTCTGTAAGGTTTATTTATAGCCAAAACAGGAAGTGAGAGGTTTTGGCTTTAGTTATACTTTGTTATTAATATTTCTGAATAAAAATGACTTACAAGTTCTTACCTTCCAATCTGAATGCAGATTGCCCTTTATGTGGCTGCCACAGCCTTAGTGCATCATGCTGCACTCACTACAGATAGAATGTTTAGTAAATGGAGAAGTAAAAAACCAGTGGAGAGGATGAAGCTGTAACACAACTCCTTCACAGCTACCACAGGCTGAGACTCAATCAACTACATTACAGTGATTTAAAGGATCTGCTACTCAGGATCTCAGTCAGTAAATTAAGATATTTACTGCCTCTACAAGTGATGAATGTGAGTAAAGACAGACAATCGAATTGTTGCTACAAAACAAGAAGTATTCTCCCCATATTCACTGGTCGTTAAAGACCTGTCATTAAAAAAATGTCAGCATTAACAACATATTTTTGAGCAAGAAGTATCACTTTCTTTTTGTTAATAGAAGTGCTGCTCTGAGATCCACCATGTCACTGCAATAAACTGAAACTTGACAGAATAATGTGAAGAACCAACTATGAACTTCAAAAACGCATTCACTCTGATAACGACACATGTTGAAACATGTTATGCAGAGCCATGCTCTGAATGAAGTTCCCTGCGCTGTGTTCTCCTGAGTCCGCTTTGACCCGCAGTCTGTTTTGCGCTATGAAGCCTTCCCTTCTGGTTTTTGACATGTTGGCAAATGGTCTGTAACTGTGAGAATCTTGTAAGCCCGTTAATGAAGAGAGTGGATCTATTAACCCATTGTTGGCTGTTAAAGATTGCATAGTGTTCCAACAAGATTGGAAGTGGATTGCATTGTGTATGATACCTTTAAAGGGAACAAATTTTTACTTTCTATTTTAAGTTTGTGTTGAAAGAGGTGAGCCATTTACTTGAAGAGGTGAAGGACACTGGGTGCTTTGACATCACACTATAATGAAAAGTGATTTTTTTGTACAAATTTATTTTTTTGCACATATTGTACCTGATGGTGGACATTAAGGATTTAATAATAATGAATATTATGTGCACAATATTTTGAAAGCGAATATTTTGTTGATAAATTTTATATGGTATTATTTTAACACTTTTTCTTGTTTTAGATAGTTTAATGCTTGAGATTTTGAGCACGGTCATACACATTTGTTGCTTTGCACACTCCACAGTGAGTTTAGGGACTGCAGCTGCATAATTTATCACATCTTTGGCGCAGAGCTTTTCACATTTAAATAAATTGAAACTTGACTGAAAAATGTGAAAAACCAACTATGAACTGCAAAACACATTCACTGCACCTTGTACTACTACTTTATTAAATAAAAATCAGTGTAAAGACATCAATGATCTACAAGTCATGTAAAAGACTTAAAAACACACTGAACTAACTTCAGCTCCTTCAGTTCTCTTGTGGCATCATTCTTCTGTTTGCGCATGTCATCTAGATTTCTCAATGCTTCCGCTAGCTCACTGACAGCACGATCTCGCTCTCTGCGCAGGTTATCACAAAGTGTACTGCAAGAAGAAAATAAATGAAAAGCATATTAAAGAATGGCGCAGATGTAGAGATGTAGAATAGTCAGTAGGTTATCATTCACCACATTACTAGCATTACTTTGCCCATGTGTAAAGCTCATAATAGAAGTGTTTAACAAACCAGTCATCGGGAACAACCAACGTGCTTTCACAGATCTTTTTTTAAATGAATTTTTTGTCTCCACTAACCTGTATCTAATAAAATTAGATCATTATCAGCCTTGCTTTGATGTGTAACCCACATTTACAAGAAGCCAAGTAATTTCTGGATATTTATAGCTTGCAACAAAAGTAATCCTGCACTTTGCACATAGACTTTGTATACAATTCAAACCTACATGACCTGTCCTTTCGATCTCAAATCCAATTGCTGTCCAAATCTTGTAGACTTGTTCCAAAACATCTCCAAGATATTCCCACTAAAGCCGCCAAGCTACTCATTCAATCCCTGGTTATCTCTCGCCTTGACTATTGCAACTCCCTTCTCATTGGCCTACCTGTACACAGTGTATCCCCACTTGAGTATATCATGAATGCTGCTGCCAGACTCGACAACCTTACCAACCACTCAGTGTCCATCACTCCTCTCTGCCAATCTCTCCACTGGCTTTGGTCATTTGAAAAAAAAATTAAGAGACTAACAACAACATACAAAGCCATTCACAAATCTTCTCCAAGCTACATCACTAATATTATCTCAGTATATCTCCCAAGCAATCCTACTCTCTAGACCCCCTCTTCCAACACCCTTGCTTGCCTTCTGGACTTCTCTATAGAGTCCTTCTGAACAACCCATCTTAATCTTTTTGACCAACTCCTTTCTCTGTCCATCTTTAGGTGATCCCAGAAAACTCAACTCTTCAGGGAAGCCTATCTCACCTTCATTTAACTACTTAACTTTTAATTCTTTCATCAGCTAATCCCTCACAGTTCTCACTTGTTCTATCATTTTGCTATCCTTATTAGATTGTAAGTTCTCATGAACATGGTCCCCCTTGTATTGTTTTGTAAAGCGCTGCACACACTCTTGACACTCCATAAATCCTGAACAACAGTTACTTTAGTCAAATTAAGAAACGTTGACATTAATTTGCTCTTGTTATTCAAGTTCACAGCACATCATGAACAACTACATTTTGTTGAATTTGATTTCAAGAGTTTGACAGTGATCAGCTCCAGGCCAGGCCATTTGCAAAAAAGCAACCAATCCATCTGCCTATCCTTAAAACAAGGTGACACTGCAGGGCTTAACCACTCAGTGCAGCCTTGTAGTATTCTATGCCAGCAGCATCATATGTAGCCTCTCTGCTACCATTTGCCGACTACCACTGCTTGTAGTACGACTCCTAGGATGAAATAACTTGCAATGTTTAAAAGTGACCATTCAGATGCTCAACTAGCAATTTGAAATGAGTTTACCCATGAAACAAGGTCATCTAAATCAGCAGAGAAACACATAATGCGGTGTTTATTTGATTAGGCATTCTGTGCTTGTTTTTTTTTTTAATGGCCGTACGCTACGTTGCTGAATGAACTTTACAAACATGGAGGATATTTGCTCATACATAAATATCATTTAAATAGCCATCTGGACTCAAACATATAAGCACCAAAATATAGTGATGTTAAACGTCCCAAGTATGTCAGCCACAATTACTTTGTTCATTCCTCTGCCCTGTGTTCATCTTCTTGTAGTCCACTGCATGTTGTTAATGCATTTTGTGACTTGTGCCAACAGCCAACTTATTTACAAAGAGTAATGTTATATGCTTTTCCCTTTCCAATATGGGCACATGATCAATATGCTGCAGAATTGCTAATGGGTTCCTCTAATAGACAAATACTCAGTGCAAATTTTTTTTAGGAAACTAAAGATGGCCATATATGGATAGAATGTTGAACGAAAATTCTTAAAGGATAGGTTCACCTTTTGGACAAAAAATAATAAATGCACATCTCCTGCAGACCTGTCAGAGTATCTGCTTGCCGTACAGGATGTATGAGCAAGCAGATATACTGAAAGGAAGCTTCAATGAACTACCACAGTGATCCACAACGCCGTGGTAGTTCAATGAACTACCACAGTGATCCACAACGCCGTGGTAGTTCAATGAAAACTACAAGCCCACAGCCGCTGAGGCTGCCGGGACTTGTAGGCACCCATTCACAGAACACTGTGAATGAGTGCCGTGGCTGTGTGGGCGGAGCCCTATACAGCTGCGCTGTTTTCAAATCTGACAGACAGTACGGGGAGAAGTTTCCCCGTACTGTCAGAGGGAGGGGGGCAGCCGGTGAGGCTGCAGCTATGGGTACATGTTACATGTTCAAGCCAAAAAACGGGTGGAACATGTAACATGTTCCAAAAGGTGAACTTATTTAAGTCTATGGAAAATTCTTGCAACATTGAAATGTTAAATTGAAAAGATTTTGTTTGCTTTTGGAAAGAGTGGACTTTATTGAACAAAAACCAGTTCGTTTTGGCACTGCAGCCGAAAATGAAAGCCGTTTTGACCCACTAATTATTAGAAAAAAGAACTAACGTTCTTAGAACATTCTTTTCCCATTTATGACCAGCCAAAGAAAGCAATAACATGTTCCCTTGCATGCGTCCAGTAATTACAGGACAATTTAAATAGTGCTCTACTGTTTGCCTACCAATTCAAAGTGTACATTTCTATAGCCTATAGTCTGTATTTGTGCTTCAGCAAATATCAGAGGCTGCTGAGTACACTTGCTTCCTGGACCAACCAAGCTTTATCTATCTGTTGCCAAATGCCAGTCAAAACCTCGTCTCCCATATGCACTCAACTATGCAATACAGGCAGAAACAAAAAAAAACAAAAAACAAACAAACAAACACAACATTAAAGTGATATTAAAAGGCAGGTTTTTTTTTTTTTTTTAAATAATGAACATGTCATACTTACCGGTTCTGTGCAGTGGTTTTGTACAGAGCAGCCACAAACCTCCTCTTCTCAGGTCACCCACCAGTGCCCTTCTGGTCCCTCTCTCCTGCTGAGTGCCCCCAGAGTAATCAACTTGCTATAGAGATCCCAAGCAGGTTCGCTCCCGAGCCACTGCTCTGCGTGTCCATTCACACAGAGCCATGGCTCAGCCCCGCGCCACCCCCTCACTCTACTTATTGGCTCACTAGCTGCGGTTGACAGCAGCGGGAGCCAATAGCTCCTGCTGCTGTTTCAGCTAATAAGGAGGGAGAGCCGAGGCTCTCGTGCACACAGGCTGCTGCACACAGAAGGGTTTATACTTTCATGCATAGAGTGCATAAAGATAAAAATTTTGGAGCCTTTACAACCACTTTAATAAGATGTAAATTATAGCTGTACTGTAACGGAGTTAGGTCTGTTCTCTGAGTGTACACTGTCTGTGTGCTCTTTCTGCATATTCAGTGACTGTATCTGCTCTCACTGTGTGTGCATGTGCACTCTATTTGCTGTAACTGTTGGTGGTCCACAATAACCACCAACCACAGTGAGGACAAAGGATGAGAAAAGCAGACACACCAGGAGTTTCGTTCACATAAAAAAAAAACACACACACACACACACACACACACACACAAAATATTAACCACTTCACGCAAGTCTGGACACTTTCATCCCCAATTGAGTCCAGGCCAGTTTTTAGCTTTCAGCACTGTCACACTTTGGGTGACAATTTAGTAATTGTCACTCAAAGTCATGCAACACTAACCCATATGACATTTTTATCCCTTTTTTTTTTTTCTTAGACAGAGCTTTTTTTGGGGTGTTATTTGATCTGTTTTTTTTAATTTTTTACTATAAAAAATATATAATGTTTTGGGGTTTAGTGTAATCTTCAGGCTTAAAATGATTTTTTAAACGTGTGTTAAAAACGCAAAAACGGCTCTGGCAGCAAAAGGGGTAAAGAATAAGCCCGGCATTCCCCTTTCCTGATGAGCATCCAATCAGTGCTAATTACACTGCAAGGTCACTCCTCCTCCCTTGCCTACCTGTCTCCAGCACTGCACCCAGGGTCTAGCAGGGAGAAGAGATAAGAAACTCAATGTTAAAAATGTTAAATGTTTAAGTCGCCATAAAGCCCCTTTTGTTTTTAAAAGCCCCAGAAATTCCTTAACCACATGCCACCCAGCCACTGTAGAAATACGGCGGCAGGGCGGCACGGCTGGGCAAAAGCACGTTTTAAAATGTGTGTTTTTTAAAAACAGGTAGGGGGCGCCCCGCCGCCCTACCTGTCCCGCCGATCACAGCCGCGGATGTCAGTCGCCGGGTCACAGCCGGTCGTTACCGGCTATGTCCCGGCGATCAACCACAATCGCTGACAGAGCACAGCTGCAGTAGCTGTGCTTTCTGTCAGTTCCCTGACAGCTCCAGGACACGCTGATCAGGACAGAAGAGTTTCTCTCTCCCGATCAGCGGTGTTCCCTGCAGTACACACCCCCGCCCCCTAGTAAAACACTCCCCTCACACAGTTAACCCTTTCCCTGAATAATAAACTTAACCCCTTCCTCCCCAGTGCCATTAGTACAGTGTCAGTGTTTTTATTTTTTGCACTGATCACTGTATTGGTATCACTGGGGATGTCAGTGACCCCAAGTCAGTACCCCCCAATGTCAGAATGTCCCACCGCAGTCCCGTAGTCCCACCATAAGTCGCTGATCGCCGCCATAAGTCGCTGATCGCCGCCATTATTAGTATAAAAAAAACCCCTAAAAATCCCTGTATCTTTCCCGCCATTTGTAAACGCTATAACTTTCACGTAAACCAATTAATTTACACGTATTGGGTTTTTTTTTTGTAGCAAAGACATGTCGCAGAATGCATTTTAGCAGAAATTTATGACTAAATTTGATTTTTACATTTTTTTTTACTGGACATGTTTTATAGCAAAAAGTCCAAAATATTGTTTTTTTTCCTCAAAATTGTCAGCCTTTTTTTTTATAGCGCAAAAAATAAAAACCGCACAGGCGATCAAATACCACCGAAAGAAAGCTCAATTTGTGGGGAAAAAAAGGATGTAAATTTCATGTATGTACCATTTTGCATGACCCGCGCAATTGTCCGTTAAACTAGCGCAGCGCTGTATAGCAAAAAAATGGCGTAAAATTGCAGTATCTATACCATAGTTTGTAGACGCTATAACTTTCACACAAAGCAATCAATATACACTTATTGGGATTTTTTTTGCCAAAAACATGTAGCAGAATACATTTTGGCCTAAATTTATAATCAACTTTGAGTTTACTATATATTTTTTATAGCTGAAAGTAAAAAATATTGTTTTTCTTTCTTTCAAAATTTTTGGCAATTTTTTGTTTATAGCGTGAAAAATAAAAAGCGCACAGGTGATCAAATACCACTGAAAGAAAGCTCTATTTGTGTGAAAAAAAAGGATGTAAATTTCGTTTGGGTGCAGCATTGCATGACCGCGCAATTATCAGTTGAATTAGTGCAGCGCCGAGTAGCAAAAAGAGGCCTGGTCATTAAGGGGGGTAAATCCTCTGGAGGTCAAGTGGTTAAAGCACCTCAGATTTAAATACGGTTTTGCTTAAAATTAATTTTTGATCAGGACAACGGCACAGATTTAGTCCCTGGACAAGTAGTTTTTTCAAAAACGTCCACGTACGTACATACATACACAAACACATATACAGTTTATATATATATATATATACACACATACATACATACATACACACACACACACACACACACACACACACACACACATTTTAGTTTTTTTTCAGGTATTGACCAAAATATATTCAAGCTATAGTTATATAATGGATATGGGCTGAAAGTGCACACTCTCAGGTTTAATTTGAGGGTATGTACATCCAAATTGGAGGAAGGGTTTAGCAATTACAGCTCTTAAGAGTAGCCATCCCCCCTTTTTCAAAGGGACTAAAAACAATTGTATCAAAAGCGGTTTCATGGCCAGGTGTGGGCTACTCCATTATGTCTTTATTAATTAGGCAGGTAAAAGGTCTGGAGTTGATTCTAAGTGTGGTATTTGCATTTGGAATCTATTGCTGTGAACCTACATCATGCGTTCAAAGAAGCTCTCCATGCAAGTGAAACAGGCCATTGTAAAGCTTCAAAAACAAAACAAATCCATCAGAGAGATAGCACCAACATTAGGAGTGGCCAAATCAACAGTTTGGTACATCCTGAGGAAAGAAGAACGCACTGGTGAGCGCGCAGTAACATAAACCCAGTCTTTGGTAATGTCCATGGGTTCCAGACTTCAGGAAGCCATTGCCAGTAAAGGATTCTCAACAAAATATTACAAATTAACATTTTATTTATGATTATATTCAATTGCCCAATTACTTTTGGTTCCTTGAAAAAGGGGGGGTGGCTACTCTTATGAGTTGCAATTTCTAAACCCTTCCTCCAATTTGGATGTACATACCCTCAGATTAAACCTGAGTGTGTGCAATTTCAGCCCATATCCATTATATAATTACAGGTGTACCTCGGTTTACAAACGCCTCAGTTAACGTAATTTTTGTTTAAAGAATGAAATTGGTCTACAAATTTTTTTCGCAATACGAAGTGTATGTCGGTGCTGATTTTTAAATGCAATTGCCTTTTTTTTTTTTTTTTCTTCGCTATAGCTCACAGAATTAGCTATCACTTTCCTCGGAGTTAAAGGAAGCTTTGCTTGTTTTAAGAAATTAAAAGGAAACCTTGTTTCTTTTAACTTGGGGGAAAAAACTAAAAGGAAACTCACTCTCTTTTAGCTGGGTGGGGAGTGACAGCTGAATCTCTAAGCTATAGTGAAGAAAACAAGAAAACAAAAAAGCAGTAATTACATTTAAAAACCAGCACCATAATAAATAAGAATTAAGAAAAAAAAAAAAAGGCGTGGGGTCCCCCCTCCCATCCATACCAAGCCCTTCGAGTCTGGTATGGATTTTGAGGGGAACTCCCACGCCAAAAATAAATAAATAAATGGCGTGAGGAACTCACCCTCCCATCCATACCAGACCCTTATCCAAGCATGCAGCCCAGTAGGTCAGGAAAGGAAAGGGGGAAGGGGGGGGGAAGACGAGCAAGCGCCCCCCCCCTTCTGAACCATGCCCTCAACATGGGGTTACTTTGGGGCAGGGGGGGCACCCCCCCAAAGCACCTTGTCCCCATGTTGATGGGGACAAGGACCTCTTCCCCACAACGCTGGACGGTGGTTGTGCGGATTTGCGTGCAGGAGGCTTATCGTAATCTGGAAGCCCTCTTGTTAAAGCCCCCAGATCCCAGCCCCCCCCCCCCCCATGTGAATGAGTATGGGGTACATGGTCCCGATACTCATTCACAAAAAAAAAACAAACAAAAGTGTAGTGTGAAAAAAAAAAAAGAAAAAAAAAAAAAGAAGAATGTCTCCCACAGTAGATCCAACGTCAATCACGATGCCCGCCGCCGACACCATAAAAAATAATAAAAAAAAAAAAAAAAACGGCTCCATTCCAGACGATAACTCCCGCCGTCTGCCTGCTCTGGTGGTTTGACAGTTCTTAAATGGGTAAGGGGCGGGGCCACCCAGGGACATCATGCATGTGACCCCACCCCATGTGACATGATGTCACATGGGGCGGGGTCACTCGAGTGATGTCCTGGGTGGCCCCGCCCCTTACCCATTTAAGAACGGTCAAACCACCAGAGCAGGCAGACGGCGGGAGTTATCGTCTGGAATGGAGCCGTTTTTGTGTTTTTTTTTTTTATTATTTTTTATGGGTCGGCGGCGGGCATCGTGATTGACGTTGGAGCTACTGCGGGGGTCATTCTTTTAGTTTTTTCTTTCAATAAAGGACTTGTCGGACCATGTACCGCATACTCTCACATGGGGGGGGGGCTGGGATCTGGGGGCCCCCCTTGTTAAAGGGGGCTTCCAGATTAAGATAAGCCCCCTGCCCGCAGACCAACACAACCACTGGCCAGGGTTGTGGGATAGAGACCCTTGTCCCCATCATGGGTACAAGGTGCTTTTGGGGGGGTGGGGAACCCCGCTGACCGCTGAAATATTAAACATATGGTTGTCACTACTAAAATACCACGACTTGACAAAATAACTCATGCAGTAAATGCGTAAACGGAGGGTGTGTGTGTGTGTAAAAAACACACACACCCTTGAATTTTCAACATTCTGTCATGTTACAACCAAAAAAAAAGAACGCAAAATGTATTTTATTGGGATTTTATGTAATAGACTATCATGTTCCTTCCACTTCACAATTATGTGCCATTTTGTGTTAAATGGTTTTCAAAATTTTTTACAAATAAATATCTGAAAATTGTGGTGTGCATTTGTATTCAGCCACCTGAGTCGATACTTTGTAGTACCACCTTTCACTGCAATTACAGCTGCAAGTCTTTTTGGGGATGTCTCTACAGCTTTGCACATCCATAGAGTGACATTTTTGCTCATTCTCCTATGCAAAATAGCTCAAGCTCTGTCAGATTGGATGGAGAGCGTCTGTGAACAGCAGAATTTTGAATTCTGGCCACAGATTCTCAATTGGATATATATATATATATAAAACATACATTACACACACTATTAAAAAGCTAGCTATCCACCATTATAAGCAAAACATGGCAATAATGGAAATATTCACCGGATGCTTTCTCTTTCAGCCACAATTTTGTCCCTCTCCTGAAAGGCCCAATCTCGCCTGCATTTGGCTACTTCAGCCTCCTGTGTGGCTTCCTTTAGTTCATGGCTCATGGCTTCATACTGCTTCCTTAGGACCTCAATCTCTTTGTTGGCTCTTTCCATGTCTAGAGTGGCAGAATCCTGAATCTACAAGAAACAAAAGCAAAGGCTATTTTGAAAAACAGATCAGAAGGAAGAAAGGATCAATACAAAACAACTCCACCATAGATGTTTACATCAGATCAGGCCCCGACGCAATTTCTATGCAGCTAAAGTACTTTGTTAGAAAGAAAAAAAAAAACACTTAGACTAGGTTCACATCTCTGCAGCTGGGGAACACATGTAAAATTGTGCACAATTCCCGACCCACAAAGAAACACGCTGCACTTTAGCAGACGCGGTACGGTGCCATTGATTCTTAATAGCACTCCCATGCATCGGCGCCAGCAGTGTATTTTTGAGCATGCCGAACTGTATTATAAGGCTTGGTGTGATGCAATTTAGGAGAAAAAAAAAAAAAAAGTGAGGAAAGGGACTTCTTTTCCCACGTTTCAACACGGAGGGAAGCACCTTGAAATGAATGGGCTGCCCTACATGCGGAACACAGGCACACAGATTTGAACGGAGCCTGACTGTTAATTACATCACCGTACTTGTAAACAGGCAGGTACACAAAAAGTGAAAAATAAATATTTTAAAATTGTTGTAAAACCTTTCATATACAAAGTAAAGTGACTGTCCTCACGTGATACACAGAAATGCAACAAACCCTCCTACATAAGTTGTACCTGTCGGTCTATCTGATCGTCTCTTCTCTCAAAGTGCCACATTTAAAAAGCTTGTCTGAGAGTTCAGAATAAAAGGGGGCACAGAGCTGAAATTACACACTGCAGAGCTCAGCTCTGAGAGCTGATTGAAGGAAACAGACACCGCCCTTTCACACAGCACACAAACAGAGCTGAGGCTGTAAATCTCCTGGAGCTCCCTCCCCTGTCACTATTTTTCTCTTGGTGTCAGGAAAACTTGTCAGAAGCAGCTTAAAATGCTCAGCTTATTGCTTACACGTTAATTTTGCTTTGCTTCAATAATTATACTCCATGTCGCTTTAATGGTGCTTCAAAGCATCTCTGAAGACTTCATAGAAGTCCATGACAAAGCTCGCTTGCAGCACCTGCAGCTTTTGATACGCTTTTATTCAGGTGTAGCTTTGCTTTGTTTTTGAGGTATTGCAGGCATGAGAGATCCCAGGAAGCACTGGGAAACCAAAAAGTGAACATTTCCACCCAGACATAGGGCTAGTTCACACCAGATGCAGTCCAGTGCGTTTTTTTTCTGCATCAAAAATGCATGCAAAGTGTTTTCCATGTATTCCAATGGCCCCGGTTCACACCCAGTGCAGTTAGTTCCAGTTCGTTTCCGGTACAGAAAAAAAAAGAAAAAAGAACATGCTGCATTTTTTTCTGCACAGAACTGTATTGGAACATAGCAAAATGTATCAAAACTGCACAGGAACGGAGTGTGGTGTGAACTGTAAGCAAAACCGTATCCGAAATGCATCCAGAGTGTGTTTCTGTGGTGTGAACTGGCCCTTAAAGTTACAAGAGCCACTTTTGACTTAACCACTTTCCCTCTGCCCTATAGCAGACATACAGCTACAGAGCGGCAGGGCTGTGCAAAATCACATATATATACAAACGTGATTTGCATTTCTGGGTGGGGGGAGGGGGGGCGCATTGGCAGCTAGGGATGTCAATCACTAGGTCCCTGCCAGAGATTTCCAGTCGGCATTCGTCGGGTAACGCTGACGGGGAGAGACCTGTGTGTAAACAACACAGGTCTCTCTCGTATCAGCATAGACAAATCAGCATGTCTCCCTAGTAAAACGCAGCACATTGTAAAAACACACACACAGCACACAGTTAACCCTTTGATCGCCCCAGATGTTAACCCCTTCCTGTCCAGTGGCATTAGTACAATGTCAGTGCTTTTTATTAGCACTGATCACTATATTAGTGTCAATTGGGGATGTCAATGGCAGTTAGTTCCCACCAAGCGTCAGAACGCCGCCGCAGTCCCGCTATAAGTTGCTGATTGCCGTCATTACTAGTATTTAAAAAAAATAAATAAATAAAAAATTCCAGTATATATAAACCACCATTTTGTAGACACTATAGCTTTCGTGTAAACCAATTAAATTTACACTTATTGGGATTTTTTTTTTTTTTTAGCAAATACATGTAGCAGAATGCATTTTGGCCTAAATTTATGAAGAAATTTGATTTTTAATTTTTTTTTATTGGACATGTTTTATAGCGGGAAAAAAAAAATATTGGTTTTTTTTTTCAGAATTGTCAGACTTTTTTTGTTCATAGCGCAAAAAATAAACGCACACGTCAAATACCACCATTGCATGACCGCGCAATTGTCAGTTAAAGTAACGCATCGCCATACACACAAAAAATGGCCTGGTCAGAAAGGGGGATAAATCCTCTGGAGGGCAAGTGGTTAAAAATATGTGTACCACTGAGAAAAATATTATATTGGAAATTAATGATATATACATCACACAGTGAAAGAAATACGTATTTGATCCCCTGCTGATTTTGAATGTTTGCCCACTCACAAAGAAATGATCAGCCTAAAAATCGAATGGTAGGTGTATTGTAACACTGAGAGACAGAATAGCAACAAAAAATTCAAAAGAAATGCAAGTCTAACAAATTATGCACGAATTTGCATGTTCATGAGGGAAATAAGTATTTGATCCCCTTCACGAAACATGACTTAGTACTTGGTGGCAAATCCCTTGTTGACAAAGTCAGATGTTTCCTGTAGTTGGCCACCAGGTTTGCACACATCTCAGGAGGGATTTTGGCCCACTCCTCTTGGCAGATCCTCTCCAAGTCATTAAGGTTTGGTGGCTGATGTTTGGCAACTTGAACTTTCAGCTCCCTCTACAGATTTTCAATCGGATTAAGGTCTGGAGACTGGCTAGGCCACTCCAGAACCTTAATGTGCTTCTTCTTGAGCCACTCTTTTGTTGCCTTGGCTGTGTGTTTTGGGTCATTGTCATGCTGGAACACCCATCCATGACCCATTTTCAATGCCCTGGCTGAGGGAAAAAGGTTCTCACCCAAGATTTGATGGTACATTGCCCCGTCTATTGTCTCTTTGATTCGGTGCAGTTGTCCTGTCCCCTTAGCAGAAAAACACCCCCAAAGCAGAATGTTTCCACCACCATGTTTAACAGTTGGGTTGGTGTTCTTGAGGTCATAGGCAGCATTCCTCCTCCTCCAAACACAGCGAGTTAAGTTGATGCCAAAGAGCTTGATTTTGGTCTCATCTGACCACAACACTTTCAACCAGTCCTCCTCTGCATCATTCAGATGTTCAGTGGCAAACTTCAGATGGGCCTGGACATGTGCTTTCTTGAGTAGAGGGACCTTGCGGGCACTGCAGGATTTCAATCCTTGTTGGCGTAGTGTGTTACTAATTGTTTTCTTGGTGACTGTGGTCCCAGCTGCCTGGAGATCATTGACAAGATCCTCACGTGTAGTTCTGGGATGATTCCGCACTGTTCTCATGATCATTGACACTCCACAAGGTGAGATCTTGCATGGTGCACCAGATCTAGGGAGACTGACAGTTGTGTTTCTTCCATTTGCGATTGATTGCACCAACTGTTGTCACCTTCTCACCAAGCTGCTTGGCGATAGTTTGGTAGCCCAGTCCAGCCTTGTGTAGGTCTAAAATCTTGTCCCTGACATCCTTGGACAGCTCTTTGGTCTTTGCCATGGGGGAGAGTTTGGAATCTGATTGATTGCTCCTGTAGACAGGTGTCTTTTATACAGGTAACAAAATTAGATTAGCAGCACTCCCTTTAAGAGACTGCTTCTAATCTCAGCTTGTTACCTGTATGAAAGACACCTGGTAGCCAGAAATCCTGCTGAATGATAGGGAATCAAATACTTATTTCCCTCATGAACATGCAAATCAGTGCATAATTTGTTAGACACACATTTCTTTTGAATTTTTGTTGCTATTCTGTCTCTCAGTGTTACATCTACCATTCGATTTTTAGAGTGATCATTTGTTTGTGAGTGGGCAAACATTCAAAATCAGCAGGGGATCAAATACTTATTTCCTTCACTGCATCATTAATTATTCACTAACTAAATCTGCAAAATGTTACAACTATACTGAATGTACCTGTCTGACTTGATAGTACTCCCTTAGAAAGTGATCCCTCTGTATGATGGCCTCTGTCCTTTCCTTCCTCGCCACATCCCGTTCTTCTTTCACAGACTCTATGTCCTTACAGGCTTGGTCCAACTCCTTCTGTGCTTCTGCCTTGTCTTTCACCTCATGGCAATATTTCTCAAGAAGCTCATTCCTTTCAAAAATTGCCCTGTCCGTTCTACCAGGGCAGAGTTTAGTTCCTACACAAAGGAAGATGCCAGTGTCAAAGTTACATAGACAAACACATAGCCTGTGATACATCATCAGCCAATATCACAAAACAGATTGCCATACACCTGTTTTCCTCACTGGGATCTCCACCTTTATCCGCCTTTTTGCAAACACGGCATTTGCTCTACAGCAGTTTTGGCTACACTTTCTGACACAGAAACAAACTCATTTGCTCACATTAAATGTTTTTCCTGTAAGTGAACCTTTTCATTTCACAAGAATTTAATCATGGTGGAGCCTTCATAATCTGCTCTGATGATCAGATGTTTAAAGTTCACAGCTTCTTTCCTCAATACCGACAAAATAAGGATATTTAAACAGTGCTGTTTTTTCAGATTTAAAATGTTTGTCTTCATCTTTAACCACTGCCCCTGGCCTTTGAAACATGGCTACTGACCTTAAATAAGCTGTGGCACTTGACTAACCCTGGAAAAGCAGAGTGTCTGACATGTGGGATGTGATTGACAGTCTGGCTTGACTTTCCTACATTACATTAAAGGTAAAATGAAACCATTTAATGCTGAAAATGCACCAATAAGTTGTTTAAGAGCTAAATGGTTCATATCTGGAAAGTGTTTCCGTAAACACTGACAAAAGAAATGGTTGCTTGAAGAGAAACTAAACATTGGGAGGTGTAACTAAAAACGCAGGTAGAGGGCAAAGGACTAGTTAGCAGTATTGTCTGTGGTCTCACTGCAGCGGTTACACACTTATAATATTTTTTACTCATGTAAGATACTTTGTTCCACACTGTGTGTCAGTGCAGACACCCTGGTAGAGGCAGGGCTTTGCTTCCTCATGTCAGAGCCTCAAGCAAGGAATACCATGAGCAGTATTCATCATCAAATCTCATGGGCTCAGTCACACCAGTCCTGTTGGGCTACATTGCGCAGTGCTGTCCAACAAATTCCCAATGCAAGTACAAGGCAAAAGGCATTGTTTTGTATAGGGCCAGTTCACACCAACACACTGTGTTGATGTACAGTGTAAACAATAATGCAGGCATACATTTTATTGCAATACAGCATGTTACAAAGAGTAGCAAAAAATTTGCAACACACTGCCACACATTGAAGGAGTGTCAGTGAAGCTAACAAAAACACTATAAGGCTGTATTGTACAGCAGTATCTAGGCACATTCGCAAAGAGCATTTTTCAGAAGAAACTCCAAAAACTGTGGATTTTTCAGGCTACTACTTAGGCATACTAAGCCTTTCTAAATGTTCCCTATAAAACATAGAAATTGTTCACTTTTTAAGTTCAAGTCCACTTTGATATTTACAGTTTTTCAATACATAATGTACATTTAAATATACCTGTCTAAGAGCTTCCATCTCCTCGCTGGCAACTCTCTTCTCACTGGATGTATTTTTCAGCCTTCCCTGTGCTAGCTCAAGTTCAGTTTGCATCTTATCCATCTCTTTAATGACTTGGTCTCGCTCGCTCATGATTAGTCGATACTCATTGAACACAGAGTCTCTCTCCTCTTTGTATTTCTCGGCATCTTTGGCTGCCTTAAGTTGCATGGTCTTAAATCGTGTAGCCTCTGCTTGCAGCCTCTCCACTTCTCTCTGCAGCTCCTTGTTCTGTAAAGATGCTTTATTCAGCTCCTGCTGGATGGAGTCGTACCTGTAAATATAATGACCATAAGCAAAGTGTTAATCAGCGATGAAGTACATTAGTTTGTGGTTTGAAGAAATAGTGAAACTCACCTTACTTTAAACAATTGATACTTTAAATGTAAATTTAGTTTTTTTATATACTTCTTAGACATGGTAGCTAAAAAACCTCAAAATAAGGCAAGTCCAAAATATCCTCCATACTTGTCCTGTTACTCTAGCTATAAATGTTATAGGCATATAGGCAAATACAACATTTGGAAATGTTTACACCAGGGCACTCCTACCTTCTGATTGAAGATGTGTACTGGTGTTGTAGGTGCATTGCACTGTCCCTCTGCTTTAGCAGACCCTCTAGCTGTTTCTGCAGGCTCCTCTTCTCCTCCTCGCTCTGCTCCAAACGCCCTAAATCCAAATTATGGCTGGACACTTTCTCATTGTACTGTTTACGCAAAGTGTCATAGTCTTTCTTCACAATTTCAAGCTTGTCCAAAGCAGTGTCATACAGCTTGTTAATGAGTTCAGAGGAGCCGTTCTGTTTTACCACCTACAGCAGAAAATGGAGGACAAGAAAAGTATTGAAAGTGTTTATATGAATTATGGACATTTGATGATTAATATTTATGAAAGTACTTATATGTGATAAAGGAAAAAATCACTCCAAATCATCTTTCTCTGCATGAGGCGCAACAGGAAGTTAGAGGAAATCTCTACAAAGTGAGAGAAATTCCACTTTTCGCTACAACGGTAACAGATGTCACTACTAGAAGATTTACCCTCTCCTCTTGTCCCAGTGACAATTGTAAAATATATTTCCAATCGCTTTCTGTCTCTGTGACCATGGTCAACTGGACAAATACAGGGTGATGTTTTGCACAGAGATAGCAAAAGAAAAATATTGACAGGGGTTCTAGCACTTTCCTTCTCTATTCAAAACTTAAAAGTGGTATTAAAGCATTTGTAAAGGAAGAAGGTTTTTAACCTTAATGCATTCTCTGCATTAAAGGTAAAAAACCATCAATGCTTAGCTCCCCTCCACCAGCCCCCCTTGTACGATCGATATATGTATGTGCATAAGAACAGAGGCTCTCCTCCTCTTCATTGGCTTATCACAGCCAGCGAGGGGGGAGCAAGCCTGCATGAATGCCCCCATAGCAAGCAACAGCTGCAGGCTCAGCAACGTAAATAAACGCTGCAAATTTGCATCCAACCCGCTTTGTTGGACACATAGGGGTTACTAAACCTGGTGCAGTCAGAAGCTGGCTACAATGCACAGCTGCACCAGACTCTAATTTCAGTTTGTTCAATTAAGCTTTGGCAATGAAACCTGGAATCTGATTGTTTTTATGCAGAGCTGCACTAGATTTTGCACACTCCAGCTTTAGTAAATAACCCCCATTTGGTCAGCAGGTCCAGGCCAATTATTTATGGCTGAGACCTGATGACGAGCTGTGTCCAATCACAGCACAGAGTCCTGTGTTTACAAACAGCAAAACAGCCAGATTGATTAGTAAAAACAGCACATATTACACATTTTTAGGTACACAGATTACCTCTAGATGTTAATCCCTTCCCAACCAGTGTTATTCATGCAGTGACAGTGTACAGTATTAGTGTAACTATTGATGTCTGTGCCAGTTAGTGTCCCTCCCAGCCAGCGTCAGCTAGTGCCAGCTTGCCCGCCACACTATCACAGTCCTACTAAAATTGCTGATCCCATTACCAGTATAGCAAAATAGTTGCATATATAGTACACACACACACATATAATGCTTTAACTTAACTTTTACAGAAACTACACTACACTTATTGGGATTTTTTTTTTCTTACACCAAAGACATGTAAAAGAATACATTTTGGCTTGAATTTATAAAGATATTTGATTTTTTCAATTGGATATGTTTTTATCACAGAAAGTAGAAAATATTGGGTTTTTTTTTTTTTTTTTAATTCTGGTCTTTTTTTGTTTATATAATAAAAAATAAACCCAGTGGTGATCAAATAACACCTATAGGAAGCTTTGTGTAAAAAAATGATATAAAATTTCCTTTGGGTACAGTGTTGCATGACTGAGCAATTGCCAGTTAAAATAGCACAGCGCTGAATAGAAATAAAAATGCCCCGGTCATGAAGGGGATAAAACCTTCTGGAGGTCAAGTAGTTCAACCCAAAAGCAAACATTATATTACAGACACAGTGGCTGTATTAATTTCTCTCTTTTTTTTTTTTTTTTTTAAGCTTTCCTTCCTTAATTTTTAACTCATGATCCAGAAAGTCTGCTTTTTTTTTTCTCAACAGAATAGGTTCTCCTGCAAATGTAGCAGTAAAGGCATTGACACAAATCATTTACCACTAATAGGGGTGCTTACAATGATCAGCTTTTATTTACTCATGTAATAGTTTTATCCTAAAAGAAAGAAAACTGTTGCTGTAACTTCTTGCAGTGTGAGCTAGAGTTCGGCTTCAGTTTGTTAGTGTATCTAAGTCTGCTAGTACATCTAATACTCCCCTACCCCCAGACTAACAATGTTGCTTGTCCAAAGGGGCCCCTATGCGCCTTCATCCAAAGTGGGGGCACACTAATACAGGAGGTGTGTTACTGGTCAGATCACCAGATGAAAACAGAGGGAAAATAGGCCTAAAAAAAAAAAAACTAATACAGCCAGCACATCGAAGGATTGGTAACCTGCAATACATTCAATTTTTGGTTTAATACCACTTTAAGGGTCAATGCACACGGACTTACACTAAAATGGATAGAAAACGGATAAACATTTTCACCCATTTTAATCGACATCTGTTTACATACATTTTTGATGCCGGTTGACATGCATGTTAGCGTGCATTAAAGCGTACTGCATTTTCACAGGATATCCTGTGCATTGTGTTGACATCCGCTCACACCTGTTGCGTTGCACTAAAATGCATACATGTTGCATTTTAGCACAATGCAGGTCATGCAGCGTTACGGCGTGAATATAACATATTGGAAATTATTGTTTTTCACATGTCGTTCCGTTGATCTGCGTTTTACAGCTGCACTATAAACGTAGATCAGCGCACTGGTGTAAATTGGCCCTAAAGGATTTGTCTGCACATACATGTTGTCCAATAGGACACTACAAAAAAAACCTATACCTGTTAATAGGGATGCACCGATACCAGTTTTTTTTTAAGAACGTGTAAGAGTACAAATACTTTTTATCAGGTACTCATCAATACCAATTACCAGTACCTATTGTTCATGGCAGTGTAGTGCAATTTGAACCCATACAAAATGAATGAGCTCAACTTGCACTGCAAGGAATCGCATATGATTTAAACAGGAATGCGGTGCAATTCCTGTCCAAACCACGTGCGGTTTCCCGCACCACTCGTGTGTGAAACAAGGCTAGAGTCACTATGACAAGCCTGGGTTCGCATAGTATCTGACCTACCCAATTTCTACATTGACTGACCTACCTGACAACTACTAACTCTGGAAAGTCCTGCATATTTGTTGGGAAGTGATCTCCAGCCCTCAATACAGCCCTCACGCACAGTACAATGTAAATTGGTGGATCCTCCCCACCGCTCCATGTTCTTCATCATTAGGCTGATCAGGGCTCTCCCCAGCACCAGACAGTACTGGTTTGGTGTCCAGCCACCCAGCAACTCCTTGGCATCCCTCACAGGAAGGACCAGCACACCCACTGTACCTCTGCCATCTGCACAGATCACCCTCCAGCCCCCATACATCAGATTCCTCCATCAAAGCCCCCCCTTACATCAGATTCCTCCATCAAAGTCCCCCCATACATCAGATTCTGCCATCAAAGCCCCCCATACATCAGATTCCGCCATCAAAGTCTCCCTTGCATCAGTCTCCCTTGCATTAGAGTCCCCCATGCATCAAATTCCCTCATCAGAGCCTTCATACATCAGATTCCCCCATCAGAGTCTCACTATACCTGCAGACTGACTCTAGAGCCCGGCAGGTAGGCGGCGGGAGCTGGGAGGAGAAGTGTGCTGCAGCGTAGGGTGAACGTGACGTCCGTGGTTGCTATGACAGTTCTAGCAACCAATGAATACAGGCTCCTGAGGATTCAGAGCAGCGGAATGGCTGGCTGATGACTAGGGAGGACGGCCGGGAGAGGAGCCTGTCACTTCTAGAGCTGACAGCTGAAAGAACCGAGCCAGAAGGTATCGGCTCTTAGTATTGGTGCATCTATACAAGTACCGATACTCATGCAAATGCTTAGTATAGGCACTAATATCTGTGCAACCCTACCTGTCAACATTTAGTACACAGGAGCATGACAACACTACAAAAAGAGGAATTTTGACTTCCCTGTAATCTCCATAATCTTGGAGTACAGTACAGGGCAGAAGTAAGGTATTCACAGACCCAGCGTTGAAGGCTGGCACCTTCAGGTGATTGTACACTGGCATACCCCCCTCCCCCTCACGTGCCTCCCCTATAACCCTACCCAGCTATGAGTCCACTGTTTTCTAGTAAGCAATGCAGAGTAACACAGGAATAGAAGGGAGGGTGTCATGTGTCCTGTACTGTATTCAAAAGGCATCGAATTTACAGGCAAGTCAAAATTCCTCTTATGTTAATCATACATTGGAAAGCACAGGCTGAGTATTCATAGATCCTGGGAAGTCCCCAAACAATGAGTTAGAAGGTTAGGCAACAACCAGGCAAAAGAACTGTTCCACCAAGCCCAACAACAGCCAACAGACCAAAAATGTTGCTGCCAGAACCTTGCAGCTGAAAGCTGCATCTATAGAGTGGATGTCCACCTGGTAGAAATTTGTACAGAGGACCAGGTGGCAGCCTTACAAAGTTGGCCACAGAGGCTTGCTGCCGGAACGCCCAGAAAACAACCACTGTCTTGGTGGAGTAAGCACATAAAAGTGCTAGAAGAGTTTTGACCTTTTTAGTGTAAGCTCTATGACTTGTTTATCCATCTAGCAGTGGTAAACTTTGAAGCAGGATGTCCCCTGTGAAGTCCCAAAGGTAGGACAAATAAGGAGTCCATGTCACACCAACAAAATGTTGTGTTGTAGAGGTATCAAATAAATTGGGTGCATGGAGGCCTAGAACTGAAAATTTACACAAAAAGGGATGTCTCTTTGAAATCAAGACCCAAGTGTGAGCTCTGAGAAAAAGTAGTATCTTCTCTGGAAGCAATACCTTTGCTTACGACATGTGCATGATCAGACCCAAATATTCCAAGGGAAGAGAACATTAGAGAGAAGTTTGTGGACGTTCACCTTCTATTCAAAAGCTGGAAGCATCTGAATTTTCCTGTGGACTTTTGCATATAGCTGGAAGGAGATGAATAATTTAGAACAAAGTTGTCTAAATTACCTGTGACCTGGATGACCCGAGTTCATAGAGGGGCAAGAAGAGCCTTTGGCTTATCCTCTGTTCCCAGAGTACTTGCAAAATGACAGTGTGATGAACTGGATGTGATTGTCTCCTACTGCAAAGCAAAGCAAGCACTGATGAGGTAGATAAATGGGAAGATGTTGGCATCTTGGATGTCTACAGATGCC